AATTAGAAGAAACCTTATTATTCTTATACTAGGCCTCTATATGCACCTTGCCTTTAAAAATAATACAGGGAGATAGAGCCCATCCATTAGAACATATACATTCTATAGCGGTAACCCATTCCCAGTTCCCTGGCTGCAATAAAAACGGCTTGCCTGGCACATCAGATCTAGAAATAACTTTGGCTGCAGCTATCAGGCCCATTGCAAATCCTGTTTTGTCGAAATTGTAGATATTACTTGAAGCTATACTGTACTTCTGAATAGTCTCATTTACCTGCTCAAACCAAGCACCTAGAACTTTAGGATCCTCTACTTTAGCACGTTGATAGTTATAGTGACGTGCAAAGCAGGATTTAAGCTCAGGTGTACGCCTGGTAAAGTTGTATACCCATTTCTTTCCTACAGTAGTAGGAGAAGAAGTAGTATCATGCTTTGAAAGCAGAATATTGGCCATTTCTCGTACGTATGCAGGCCGGGGAGGTACTCCATGCATGATAGGAAGGCGATATACCGTGTATTGGTAATACTGTATATTGGCCTACTCGATGGCTTTGAAGCTTTTGATCTTTCCTATTTAGGAAGGATCTTCTACTATAATAGGATTATTGCCTGCCTGAGTGCCTGCCTGAGCACCTTGCTGCCGGAGCGCTTGCTCAGTCCGTTCAAAGCCTGAGATCTCTCGATTCCTAGAACCTCTAGGCCTCCCACGTGCCCGTATAACCAGCGGTTCCAGTAGATGAGGCCATTCAATTAGTGGATCTGGATCTAGATTAGATAGATCAATCGGCTCAGGCGGATCATCCCATGATATTAGTCACTGAGAATGGAAGGTTGAGATAGGCAATGGCTCTCTAGATACACGATAATGTAGAATGATATGAATACAAGGGATTCCTAATGTTTTAGTAGTAATCCCTGTACAATGTTCAATTGGCAGCTTTTCTGGGCCTATTGGTAGATAGCGGTTTTGTATGCTAAGCACCTTATTCAGCGCAATAGGTTAAAATATGATGAATAATATTGTGGAATAGTGATTCAGCCTGTAGATCACTAGATACCTGAATACGCTCATCTGCAAGTGCTTGCTCAATCTGAAGATGATGATTGGTGATCGTATGCTTAATTGATCTGACCACATTGAGTAGATTACCTAAAGAGCTTTGGAGATCTCGTTTAATTCGCCAGTGAGATCCCTCACTACGAGATGTAGCCAGCTGACCAAAATGTAGATAGGTATTTGTATAGCAGCGGAGAAAAGCCCTTTCTGTTTGACTATGAAGCCATTCAGATTCTATATAAAGTAAAAGCTTTTGAAATGTAGGATAATGATATGTCCGCTTAAAACAGGCCCATTTATAGTCTTTTACTTCAATAAATCAGGCAGTAATAACACTATATCAATCAGCTAGCATAGTCTTCTATTGAGTATCAATCTCCTTAAGAAACTCTTTCTCATTGGTCGCTGTCTCTGTAGATTATATAAGTAAATAATCGCGTATAGCCTATTTTGCATGACTAAGGATGTTCTTATTAATATGCCATATACATAAAAGTGAGGCAGTAGATGGCTATATATTTTGTATAGCACTTAATAAAGAGTTATCCTTATCAGTGACCACTGCAGTTGGCGGTTAAAGTTGTAGAAAGGTATAAATATCAGCAAGGTGCTCTATTATATAGTGGAATGAGCCTTCTCGCTTATCTGATATAAAGCCAAAAGCAATATAGAAAGTGTCTCCCTGTGGTGTTAAACCAATAATACTGAAAAGCGGCATATTATATCGGTTTGTTTGGTATGTACAGTCCATTATTAAAATGTAGGGATTTCTATGTAGATTCTTAATTGATGATCGATGACTGAGAAAGACTGCAGAAACATGACGATTCTCATGTACCTGATATTTTATATACCAATTGCCTTCACGTGGTATTGAGCTGATTAAGGCTTGAATAAGTGTACGGCCATTAAGGCGTTCAATATCAACCCTATATCGCATGTTGTAGAGATCTCGGGCTCTAATCAACTGTACACGGCCTTCCCGGTGTAGAACAGATATAATATAGCATATTGGAAGGCCTTTATTAAGTATTCTAATAATCTAGTTATACCGCTTGCGAAGCTCACTCCGCCGGTGAGCTGGAAGTACTGATATATCCACTGGACTATGGTTATGACAGCCTTCTTGAATAGTCAGATACCACACATCAAATGTAGGGTTATATTTAAGCCGTGCAGTAAAGGGGCAGTCAATTCATCAAGACCGGCCAACACGGATTCCCTGAGACTGATTCTCTGCTATACGGCCTCTATCGCAGGCTATATCAATATATCTAAGGATTCCAGTTTGTTTATCCTTAGTAGAGTGACGTCGAACAATTGCAAAGCCATTGATTAGACTAAAGGCCTGTAGTAAGTTGAAAGCCTTATCTGCTGAGCTAAATGACTGAGATAAAGGCGGCTCTGGGATAATATTCTCATTATTTTCATTTTGATCCTCAGGCTCTGATTGGTCAGAGAAAATAATCTCATAATCATCAAGAAAATCATCCATTTTAAGCACTTTTTATAAGCCTTTTAGGAAGCACCTTTTTTAAGGAGATATCGTATATATGGATTTGAAAGGGATTTACTAGTGCGGTTTTATGATCACATGATTGGATTTACCTTCCTATTATAGTATAGCGTCTCGTCCAAATAACTATCGTCTCGTCCAAATAACAATTCCCATAGATAAAAGAGAAATCAGAAAATATTACTAGGTAACTTACCTTGAAGAGGAACACCCGCAAATTTATATACTTTTAAGGATAAAAGCTTAAAGGAGGGGGAGTAATATTATAGACCCTTGTCTAGTGCACTTATCGGGCGCGGTCCCGGACGGCAGAACCAGTGACACAACGGTCAGGAAGCCAGACACTAGTGCTGAGAAAGGAAAAGCACCAAGGAACACCCACTTATGTGAGCAACTATCGTGTACACATAATTGACAGATCACGTGACCAAGAACATGTCACCAACAAGCTATATCATGGCGGCGCTACGATTGGAACATGTCAGTGACATGATATGACATATCGGTAACATAATATATCATGGCAGCAACATGAGAGACAGGGATATATAAGAACACTTATTCATGTACTTAGTTTAGTTCTTCATGATCAATTACAATTGTTACTTCGGATACACCTTCAGTATCAAGTTAGTATTCGACTCGTTCGCACTTCCTTAACTACTGAGTATACGTACTTAGTAGGCCTGGCCTTTTGGACTTGAGCTATCCACGGAACAGTATCGCATATCGTCGGACCTTGGATTAGGTCATATCATTGGATCCTGGATAGGATCATATTTGGAACCATCGTCGTTCACAGTCACGGAATCATAGCAGATTTATCGTTCAGGGTTAGTCTCCGCGCTACGCAAGGCAGCTAACACTCATAGAGCTCTTGACTGAATACCCGGGCGTAACATTCCCATCCCAAAATCCCAAAATCCCATCCCATCCCGGAATCCCTGGGATTATCCCGTCCCAACGGTCAGCCTAATAACCAGTCTATACCTGAAAGATTCAACCAAATCAATTATAACTCTAATAGATGGAAATCTTATTATAATATTAAAGCTTTATCTACCAGTTGCAGCTGTAAGATTGCAAGCAGGTAATTGTAGTGTAACCAAGCTTTGCTCCAAGCTTTTTATAGGTTTAAAGGTCTAAAATTTTATAAGATTTGCTGTATATTCCATTTACAAAGTAGTTGCGGCTTGCGGCTTTGAAGGGGTAAAGGAATTGACTGTAAGGAATTTACATACCAATGAATAGTATAGAGAAAGCTTTTTTTTGGTTGCTTTTAGTAATCTGGCTGATTATTGTTATTATATATATGATTTTTAAAATGCAGGAGCCTCTGCTTATAATGCTTTTTGGCCTGTTTCTTATATAGTATAAAAAGATTATGTTGCATTTATCTATTTTTTACTGAATATAAATAAAAGAAAGCTATATACACTCTTCCAGAATAATTGATAAATGTAGAATTTACTGTCTCAGAGGAGTAGTATTATATATAGTTCCAGATTTGTATAAATGCTGGCCAGAAGATCTCGATGTAATTTTACATATTTAAATTTATAGATTTCTATTACTTTTAGTTCATTTATTATAGATAGACAGATAAATATTAAAGCTTGAAACTGCATTGGAGAGCAAGTATACTATATTGAGTATTGATATAAAAATTTAAGTATAAAAAAACAAGCTATTACTGGAATAATATCAGATAAAATATACTAAGGAGTACAGTACAAATACAGTAGGTTTAGCTAAATAGTATATAGCAGTCTGACTAGACTGTGATATTTGATTGGCTGCCTTGGCTTTCTGAGATTCTCAAAGATTATAATTATTATCTGTCTATCTAGTACAGTATTGTGTAAACTGGTATTTCTGCTGTATAGTCTGCCATGGTGGAGATTGTGCTGGACTCAGTGAAATCATCATATGAGAGCTCAGAGCTGGGAAATCTTTTAAAAGATCATGAAAAGAGCCTTGTAGCCGTGATTTTTCAATACTGTACGCGGTATATTGAGCCAGCCTGTCCAACAGAGTATCATGTTGAGGCAGCCTGGGCATGGGTAGGGAGAAGAAGGGATACTATCTTGCATCTCTTGCGCTTGCACTCGCGGCAGGCGGTTGAGGCCTTTTGTCTGGGGAATAGAGGGGTTACAGAGACATTGGCATTGAATGGCCCAGGGCTTCATACCGGCCAAGGTGCTCGGTGGTGAAGCCTTGTTGCAGTATTGGGGTATACGCTCATGTACTACTTTAAAGCAGGAGACCAAGTGTCAAATCATAATGAACGTGCGCCGTAAGCTGTCAGAGTTTGCAACGTATATTTACCAAAAGCTATGATTGATCTCATCAGAAAAGTCAAAGATGTAGATCCTAGGAGCACCAGTAGGAACTTTGTCTTAACTTATTTTATATTTTTTTATCAACTCAGATCTTTGCATGTGGCATTGCATGCGAGGCAGGAGTCCTCACCTTTTGTACGACTAGATGGTCGAGGTCGCGTGTGTTAACAAAGGCCGGGTGTGCCTGCGAAAGTTCTGTGATCCCGATCAACCTCATGGCTGTCTCGAGCTCAGCCTGAAAAACTTCCAATACAATCGCAATATTAGTACCCATATAGCATACTGAGAGTATAGATTGGACTCACTATCAAGAAGATGCTGGGGCCCGTTCTCTCCGTAGGCGAGGGAGTAAAGGAATGGCCGCCCAATTAGCACTGCCTTCACTCCCAAACAAAGCGCTTTCAGTATATCAGTGCCACGGCGGACTCCTCCATCGACGTAGACCTCTACGTGACTAAAAATTGATGGTAGATGCCGTTGCAACTCCAGTAGTGTAAGAAGCCCTGGAGGGGAAGTGTCGAGGTTTCGCCCGCTGTGATTGCTTTAGTAGTTGGTCAGTCATCCAAGGCTGGCTTAAATTGACTCTGTATCCAAGTAGAATTTGGATAGTGACTGACTGACTGACCTCAAGACAATCCCACTCACCCTAGCTTCCACCGCCATCCGAGCATCCTCAACAGACTGTATCCCCTTAATGACCAGCCTCCCGGGCCATTGTTCCTTGAGCCACATGAGGTTCTCCTAACAGAATGAGCTGTCAATGAACGAACCCGTGGTTCGGGTAAGACCGCTCCCTGCGCCATCTTCCCTTGATCGAGTGCCTGTCATTGGCATTGCTATCATATCTTGTGCTTTTACTTTCTCATCCGCTTCCCGTTTGCCGGCAACAGGAGCATCAATGGTCACAAACAAGGTGCGAATACCGAGCTCCCACACCCGGCGCAAAAGCGATTCAGAAACTTCCCTATCCTTGGCGACATATAGCTGAAAGAAAAAGACGGTCGCGGGGAAAGGGACGTCCGAAATAACGTCTTCGACTGGGCTGGAAGCCGTAATAGGTATCTGCGCGATTCATCTCAGAGCACAACAGCATGCGAAACCGGCCTAAGAGACGAATGGAGGAGTAAGGGAGGAGGGGAGATTGGAGTTTGGAAGTAGTATAAGTTAATGGGATTGTAGAGTTCGTTCCATGTTCACCGTGAACAACTTACACAGTGAAAGATGCCTCTGCTAGCAGCTGCCTTTGCTATTCCTTTCTTACCAATAGGATTAGCGAGCCTCGCCAGAGCTACTGGTGCAACAATGACAGGCAAAGAGCATTTGACACCCTGGACTGTACATTTGGTGCTTACGTCCCGCACGTTGCGTAGCAACCGGGGCCGAAACCAAATGCGGTGATAGAGCAATCTGTTCGCGTTAATAGACACCAGATCTGTGGCGGCTGACGAGTAGAACGCCCACGCTTTCTTTGAGAAGGTATCTTGCGCAACGAGTTCGAAATCTTGGGCACTGAGAATGGTACCTAGAGGCGGCTTGAGTGGACGCCGAGGAGCTGCCTCCCGAACGGAGCTGTTGTGCCACTCTGCGTTGGGAGAAGACCGATGGAGCTGACCGACAAGTTCGTTCGCAGTAAGAGCATGAGATAGAAGATCGGGATCGTGGACTTCGTTGTAAGCCTGGGAGGCGTCTTGGCCCGCATATCGAAGGATGGCTGGTCCCAAATAACTTTATTAGCTTAGAAGGTATTATTGATCTTCACCGACCGTTGGACGAAAATGTTGGTTCAATGCCACGCATGATCTTTAGAGTCACAACCACCTGGATGTTTTAGGGCGAATTCACTTAAATCCCAGACATACTCGTTTATCACAACCCAGCAATCACTGGGACTGCAATGTTGGGCAACTTCACCCACAGAGATCCGCTTGGTGCCAGCCATCCGTAAGTGCCGAGGGTCGTAAGGATACCGGGGGAGGGACGTGAGAGAGAAGATCTTTGCGTCTTTATGAAGACAAGCCACTTAGTAGTATTCGCCCTTGGGCGGTCGTACCCACGCAGCAGTGTTCGCCGGCCGTTGTTCGTCTACGACTGAACCCTATGAGTGCATTCTCAAGTTGTAGGGAATTTTCATTTTCCATCATTATCCGACAGCATCCCTGTAATCAATAACGTAGAGACAGGAAACCATGGTCAAGGCATCTTGTTTAGTGTCACGCATAATGACCAAGTCCTCCGAGCCAAGTAGCCGATCTAAGACCCACATACAAGGGCAACAATTTCTACTACAAGTACTCCGTAGATGTATCAGTGTATGGCAAGCGACGATCCGCAAGTCAGGCAGCCGTATTACCGCGTACAGTCTTTGGCCTGCAGATTACAAAATTTCAGAAAAGCAAACGATTTGAAACTTGCACTATTGAGCGCCAATGGGCCGTATTTGAATAACTGAGGTCTTGAGCTACCTATATCTATTGGCTATATTATGCCATGGGTTGAAGTATTTACTGTTATATACGGGTTTACTAGTCTTAGCCAGACTCGCAACCAGCCTGAAGTTGAAGAAAATTGGAAATCTTGTAATCTGCAGGTCAAAGACTGTACTTGGTGCAAAGGGTTCATTTCGGGCTTAGCATCTCATCGTGGCCTAGTACTACGACTAGATAGCAACGCTCTGGTGACCAAGGGCATGATAGTGTTGCGGAGATAAGGCCTACATTCGCGGATCCTTGCAACCTAGTACTACCCAACATGGGCTGTAGGGCTATTCGGACATCTTACCCTTTTCTAGTTAGCTTGCGGACTGGAAAGTCAAGCAATATGTGGATTGAGTAAGACCCCTATAGCCCACCTCACCCAAGGAACCGATGGTGCTGCCCGCGCACCCCACTCTTAGTCTTCCCTCCATATCTTTTACTCCTCCCTCTCAGCTCAGCTTGTGGCTTCACTTTTTATTCTATTTACTTGAGGATTTTGAACTATCCTTTGCTGTCATGGAGCCGGCACCAGAAGCGAATGAACTTTCCGTTGTACCCAAGCAAGGGAAATACCGAGAAGGCCACTTGTTCTCAGAGCAGGTAACCTCCGATCATGGAGTGGCTATAACTGCGGCTCAAAACGGACTACGTAACGCCGCTGTGGTGATATTTTGCATCTCCTGTATCACCTTCATTAGCTCATATTTAGGTGGGCTTGTCACCGTGTCTGTTCCGCAGATCTCCTCAGATTTGCATCTCAGTCCGGGAATGAAACTATGGTCTGTTATCTAGAACTTATTATCTAGCACATCGAGTACAACTAACACAACATGAATGTATATAGGCCGGTGTCAATGTACGCTCTCGGTACAGGATGTACACTACTTATTTCAGGGGCTGTCTCCGATGTGGTGGGCAATAAACAAACTTTCCTGACAGGCTGCTTTTTACAGAGTATCTTTTCCATGGCCTGTGGCCTTGCTCACAGCGGCACACAACTTATTATTTTCAGGGTTATCTCTGGTATTGCAGCCTCTCTTTGTTTGCCTTCTGCTATGAGCATTATTACTGAGCATTTCCCTTCTGGAAAATTCCGGAATATTGCACTTGCTTTGATGGGTTCTGGTCAGCCTATTGGATTTGGAGTCGGGCTTCTTCTCGGAGGCGTGTTTGCAGATACTGTGGGCTGGCGCTGGGGTTTCTACAGCGCTGCAATAGCTAATAGCCCAGTATTACTTCTATCAGTCCAGCAATTACCTGGGAAGGACAAACAAGAGGGGATCATATGGCGTCGTCTTGTCTTCGGCATTGACTGGATCGGAGCCCTGGCAGCCAGTGTTGGATTGGCTCTACTTTCCTATGCCTTGGCGTATGTATGAGACTCGATTTACCAAAAATGTATACTGACATTCTTTCCTTGCTTCTATAGGGTGATAAATGATGACGTATCCAAGATCCGTGACGCTACTGTAATTATATTTCTCTGCCTATTTGGCAGCCTGATAATTTTCTTTATTTTCTGGCAAGGTCGACAGGAAAGCCACTCCAGACCTACTTTGATCAAGAATTCATTATGGAAGAAGGTCGGCTTTACATGCATTTGTATAAATGTATTTATGATCTGGGGGGCTTTTAATGCCTTTGAACAGATGGTCAATTTCTTCTTTCAGGAAGTACAGCGGCTGTCTGTACTTGCAACATCAGTGCGGTTTATTCCTGTTACTGTCCTAGGCTTACTCACTAGCCTTACTACAGGTATGATCTTACACTCAGCACGCGCAAGGTTATAGACTTGCTCACCAGCTTTACTACAGGTATAATCCTCCATCGAGTACGCGCAGACACTCTGATAAATGGGGCTACTATTCTCTCATCAGTTTCACCACTGCTCTTAGCTCTAATTAATCCAGTATGGATATACTGGCGCTGTGCATTCTTCGCCATGTGTCTCAATCCAATTGCAGCTGACGTCCTCTTTACTGTTTCAAGTATTATCATTGCTGGCATGTTTCCTGCTGAGACTCAAGGCCTTGCGGCAGGTGTCTTTAATACAGTGTCACAATTTGGCAGGACTATTGGACTGGCCCTGGTTGCATTGATTGCCAATAGTATCACTGAAAAGGATTCCACATTAGACAAAGATAGTCCGGGAGCCTTGATGGTGGGTTACCGGGCATCATTCTGGTTTCTGTTCGCAATGAATATCACCAGTTTAGCGGTAAGCCTATTCGGACTGCGGAATATTGGTAACGTGGGCCGGAAAGGGTCGCCGGATGTCTGAAAATTGGTGTGGGAATCGGTCTCTTACAGAAATCGTATAGTGTCACACACGGATCAACCATAGGGATATGTTGGAATATTACTCCGTAGCTCTGGCTACATACAAATCTGAAATTTTCATGGCTGAAAGTATCACAAGCGAAGTGATTAGTAGGATAACAATTGTGATCTCTAGACTGTATTGATATACCTCCTCTTTGGTTTCCCCCTTTTCCTTTCCCCGTTTTCCATGGGAGCCAATAATTCTACCTAAGAGCGCCCTCAATTTTTAAAGGGTGAAATATTATAAACTGAAGGGGATTCAATAAGGACTTGCTCATGAGGACTTAAATTGTTTTAGCTATTATTTCAATATTCTTATCATTCAGCGCCCATAACCTCAACTTATCCCACCATCCATGTCACAACATTACAGCTTTGGCGCCACGACATCATGCTCAGTTAATGGTACGATTGCCTCAAAATATTTATTCAAAGCTGAAGCACTCGCTCTTCCATCAGTAAGCTCTAGGATACATCCAACGTACCCGTCGGGGCGCACGACGACTATACCACCCGTTTCTGCGTCGAAGCCCATCTTGAGGTGAGCGTTCCTCTCTGCAGTTTCACCCCCCCGCGACGATCCACGATCATCCGCGTACACGTGGTGCCTATAGCAGGTGAAAAAGTACGGAAGTCTCTCCTGGATTTCAATTGTTGATCGTGGTGCATGAAAGACAACCGAAAAGGTGAAAAATGGGAAGTGGGGATTGTGTCTTCCGTCGTATGAGGTATCGATGTCCTTTCGCTGATATCGACGAAAGATGCTACTCTTGGCCTGCAAATGGTCGGCGAGATCAAGTATCGCCTTCGAGGTGGTTACGGGTTTGCCGGCAAAGATATAAATTCGATAGCTACCGTTGAAGGGGATCTCCTGTTCCAGGTAGACGGGATGGGCATCGATAACCCTCGTTACAGTTGCGGTAGGCAAGCTACGACCAGGACGCAGAGCTGTTGTGTTGGTTGAAGAAGCTGTTGATGGCCAGGTCAAGCTGTTAACGGGATACTCGACGCCGTAACCACTCGTCAAGAGTGAGTTCTGCTTGAATACCTGGACAAATTCCGAGCTCGGGGCAACATTGTTTCCGTTAACGGGCTGATGAGAACTAAACAAGTTCGCGTATGTCGCATCGAACTCAATCAGCTTTGCTGCTACGAGCTTCCGTTCCCCTTCGTAGGTTTTTAGAAGGGAGCGCCGGAGAAAGCCAGCTTCGACCAGGTGCAGCTTCCACGCAAGATTGTGTGCATCTAGGAAGCCATAGTTCATCCCCTGGCCGGCTTTGGGCTGTAGGAAACGAGGCTGTTAGTTCAAACATCGGTGCTACCTTCGGGTTGTCTGGCAAGTGCTTACACTGTGCGTATGGCATGCATCTCCTCCAATGAAAACTCGCTCATCGAGAGAATATCTTGCGGCGAGTCCTTGTCCAATTCGGTATGCAGAGTGCCACTCCACCATCACCCAGTCCACTGTATAGGGAGCTAGAATTTCATTTGCCGCCTGCTGGATTTTCGGCACCGTCGCAAACGCGAGAGGTTCTTGTCCATTTTTGGGAAAGAGCTGGACATATATACGAACTCGGTTGTTCCCGTGGGGAATTATCATAGCTGAACCTTTGGACGAATGAACGGTACATTTAATCTAATTAATGTAAGATTAGTAGTTACTGGTGTCATGTATCGATATTGCCAAGGAGGACATGTACCTGAATATCCGGAAAGTCGCTCTTGACCACCCCGTCGATGACACTCCACACATGGACTGTTGGATCTTTCGACAACATTGGCACTCGAAGAAGATCTCTTACACGGCTTCGTGCTCCATCTGCACCGAACAGATATTTTGTTCGTACAGTCGAACGTTTTGTACCGTCAACGCTGACGAGGTCCACTACCAGTGGATGGTCGGAATCCTCTCCGCAAGGGTCTTTCCTAAAACCTGCAATGGTCCAGGTCCTCTCGATCTCAACCCCTCGTTCCCTCAAATCATCCAGGAATACTTTTTCAATCCTGCCTTGGTGGATGATAGTAGAAAACGGATGTCTCGTATCAATGTAGTCAGGATAACTCTTCGCCGTCCCCGTGCGCTGAATCCCGGGCCCGTCCTTGGAAGCATCCCAGAACGCAACCTCGTAGATTCGGCCTGGGTTATAAGACATGATGGCACGTTTAAGATCCAGATTTTGCAACACATCGAGAGTCCGCCCCTGGATCCCACTGGCGCGCCCAGTCTCTGTCGGCCCGGGCCGTTGGTCAATGTGCTTGATCTTGTAAGGCCCCAGGCGCAAGAGGCATGCTGACAGCATTAGCCCTACCGGGCCAGCGCCTACAATAACAATATCGTAGCATTCGGCCATGACTTCGTATGTCTTTGTGGTCCTTATCCACTATTTAAAGGCGTCGCTAATTGAGAAAAGCTTCTGTATGAGGGCTCAAGGATATCAATGTAATCGAAATCCTCCACCGCGCCAGAGAGAGAAGTGGTCCTTTGACTTGCTATGATGCTGAGAGACCCCAAAGAATAAAAGGCACATTACAATTTGTCAGACGGAACAGTGCTAGAACCTTGCCCTTACCATCGACCCCGTCGGAATATGTGTGCCACTTGCCCCAACAAAGCCTTGTTGGCCGAAGCCTTACCACCATCGGTAGATCATGGGGCGTTCATGCTTTTCTTCCCCAAGGAAGCCCCTGAAAATCCAGCAAGTGCGACGCAAGGGAAAACACAAACACTTTGATGACGCGGCAACAAGTTGAGAAAGTGACGGAGACAAGGACAATCCCGGTTCACTCGAAGATGCCATCCTTGCCTAGCTTTTCTGCCCCTCTTTGAATTGGGAACCTGGCCCCAATGACACTTTGGGCGGAGACTGATAGAGGCTGTTTAGCAGCTTCTACAGATCCAAAGTTTTTCGCTATCGGATAACGCGGCATATTGGGCGCGGCGACTGGCCATGTTCTTACATGGAGTTGTCGCTTCCTTTCGGAATTGTGCGGTAGGTCTCTCCTTGTCTCACTGCGGCTGGCATTTCCGATACTGCAGATATTAAGTCGCAGGAGAAGAAAAAGCTTTCATTTCAGCGATACTGAGCCCTAGTACGGGGCCTACTGGATAGGCGTTGGCATCCAATGGATTCTACACTTTGTTTTCATACATTGGGACCATCTTTAGAAGTTCGGATAGTAATGATATAATAACCATATGTGTATCTGCACCTCGTTCATATGAGGCCCAGCAACCCATTATCTCCCAAAACCTTTTGTTTAATGTCCCTCTGCTGATAAGTAAATGAGCCGTCCTGCAGCTTCACATGCTTTACAACTATTACAACTACCTATGAGAAGTGATTCACCTCGGGCTTGATTGCCACAGACAGAGTCCCACCTCGCAGTCGCCGAATCGCTTCTAGGCCCTCGTAATATAAGAAATGATACACTGGATACATGCATTCGGGTTCAGCCATCATCTACGGCCCTCCTCGGGGGGCCGCGCCACTAACTTGACCTACTGTAGTGGATGCCCCTCTCGGGTAGAGCGGCACAACAAAGCTTATCATTCACAATCAAACGTGGCGTCCTTATGAAGGCCCAGCCGTGCTGAAGTCTACGACTCGTTCTAGCCCTAACCTGGCACCTGCATCCGACCTTGTCAGTTGACTGGCGCCTTATCGGGTAAACTATCGAAGTGGAATATACTACTAGTCATAATACTTAGTAGTAATTACACTATAAAGCACCTAAAAGGAGACGAAAGAAACCAAAATGAATGCGTTACGAGACAAATTGAAAGATACTTTTGGTTAAGAACAGGCACACTGCTCTTGTCTCTTGTTTATGACTAACAGTATCTGGGGACGGTCATATTTAAAGGCCCACTACTACTAGTAATCTATCGTTCGCACCCAATTGTCTCGTGAATACCTAATTTCGTCCAAGTTTAACTTACGAAATAAAATACTACTTTTATCAGAACCCCCGTGCACTGTATGTTACGACTGATTGATCGATTTCTGCCTTATCCTCGGATGCAGCACAGCCAGGGTGCTCTTGCCAAGACGCCGCGGCCGTCGGGCAAGCGAGGCTTTTGCTACATGCAGGAATCTTGTAACTTACCGGTATATTGTAATCGGCCGCATCGACCATTCTACCGTAATTTATCAATGAAGCTATTCCCTAACATCACCGACCAATCAGATCGCTCACAGCCAAACCTGTACCGAATGATATAGGAGGTGAACGTTCCCGAGGGAATGTCAGGTTAGCTTGATGGACTAGTACAGAAGACGGTACGTGTCATCATAGCAACTTTCTCAGGAGGCCAATGCTCCCATGGATACAGTCATACATTACAGACGTTTAGATAGAACTTGAACTTTCTAGGCCAGTAGGATCAACGTACAGCGCCTCAATCAATGAATATTTGCCCATATAATTGCATCTCGAGTAAGTCAATGAATTGAGGGGCTATCTTTCCTTTGATTTCAGACCCCATCTGAGGGATCCTGCATCTAATGGAAACCGTGCAAAGCGGGACAGTGTAATCTCTACTATAGCCGAAAAACCTCACGCAGTGCATCTCCTAGTCCGCGAATGGCCTCCTGCATTGTACCAGGAGGGACACTTGCATAAGTCATACGGAAGAAAACCTTGTCCATACGACCCTCTTTGTCCTCAGGCAGAAAAGCACTGCCAGGGATGACCAGCGTACCGTGGCTGATAGCAGAGTCATATATTTCCTGTTCAACCTCTCGAGGAGACTTCGTTGATGCATAGGGATGCTGCTTCCAGTCAACAGATATCCAGATCTAGAGATTGTCAAGTCAGAACCAAAGCCTCTTAGTGCCTAATTAGGGTACCGGATGGGTGGTGTGAACTCACAAAGAACCCTGCGCTTGGGGGAGTCCAATACGTGATCTCATGAGGCAGATACCGCTCGCAAAGATCTACCATCATGTTGCGTCTCTTGCCGTATTCAATCTGTAAGTGGGCCAACCACCTTTTGAACCCAGAATGGCCCCAATAATCATGCAGAAGCTTGAATATGGCCAGTTGAGAGAAGCCGCTCGGATTCTGCACGGAAACTTCATGAGCGCGCACGAACCGTTCGACGATTTGTTCCGGCGCAGTAACCCATCCCATTCTGGCTCCTGGAGCGATAATCTTGGAGAACGAATCCATCCGGAGCACTCTTCCATCATTATCAAGGCTGAGGTAACTAGGAAGGAGCGGCCTGTCAATAACCTCTGCGAAGTTCTGTGAAACACTCAAAAGGTCGGTATCTTGTTTTTCTTCAGATGTCGGCGATGTATACGGTGGAAATTGAATGAAATAGTAGGGATCATCCTCCAATATGAGAAGATCATGCTCCTGTGCAATCCGGTATATTTCTCGCCTTCTCTCAGTAGGCTGAGTCGCTCCCGACGGATTCTGGCCGCACGGGATGACGTACAGGAGCCGCGGCTTTTTTCCCTTTTCCGCGTCTTCGCTCCAGTTGGAGAGAACTTCGTCGAGATGGGCGGGAATCATGCCAAAGTCATCCATTCTAATTCCTGAAAACCTGAGGCCCATTGGTAGAGCGGTTTCATAGACAGTTGGGTAGGTGTACTCCTCGACGAGAAGATAATCACCTGGCTTTGTAAACATTCGGAGAATGATATCGAAGGCAGAAGTATTCCCAGCTGTCAAGATGCATCTCCAGTTTTTGTACGGCGGGTCATGAATGATCTTGGAGCGAGCTTAATGGGTCAGTAGATGAACTACTTGAAGACGGAAATCTGAATCTGTGTATAGAGACTACCTTGACATGCTCGGAGAGAAACTTCAAGAGCTGTGTAGATCCGGTGCCCTGACCATATTGTAAGGCGATTGCAATGTCGTATATGCTATCCCCATTTTTGCTGTCATGCTTGCCAGCGTGAATTTTCGCAGCTGCCTTCGGGGCTATCTCGCAATCTGTCTTCGGTGCTTCGGACAATGGAACATCGAAGTCCATTCCATAGAAGGGGAAGTAGTCAGTCGACGGTGCGCCAGGGCCAAGCGATCGTATTTTGACTACTGGAAGGTATAAATCCATCGGTTAACCATAACGAGCCCTATACTGCTTACCAGACTTGTCGAGAATATGATGCATTCCCTGCATAACGGACTTCTACGTAGAAGTCTTAGCTTCTCGTGAGCCCAGTGACTGAGTTCTCAGATACTCTACCTTCCTCAGTTGGCTTTCTCGGCTAAAGAGGCCTGAGTTATGCGTATGTTGAGGTTAATCAGAGTATAAAGGCTCTCCAAGTGTGGTATTTCTCACCCTTCCAGTCTCGCGTTGCTGAGGCAAGGAGAGAGCGCTCCGAGGGCGCTCGAGAAGAGGAATCAGTAACGTTAAGCTCTGCCATATTGAGAGGAGTTGAATTGCCCTTTGATGGGGTTAGATTGTGGTACGCTTTTGATTTGGACTAGATCTAGGAGTAAGAAGGAGGGCAGTAGCAACAATGTGGTATTTTAGCACAGGATCAGCCGGGATTCACCGTTAACATATGCTCTTCTCCTTTCTCTGTTTCTTGCAAGCAATTCTTAGTAGTAGTGCCCCTCTCTTGCGAAAGAGGAATAATTACATTACAACCAACAATAATGGGGTTAATGTCTTATCTTTCAAGTGAAATACAAGTGAATCGAAATTCACGCGAAAGACAACAGTCAGAGTAAATTGGAAAAGGCCTGCGACCTGTCGCTGCTATACAGCTGGAAATGTGGTAAATCGAGAAACACCATACTAAATTAGCGTAATATCCTGTAATTGCACAATATCAAGGAAATTCGGTGTTTGGTTTCTCTACAGCCCTTCTTCCCTCCCCCCAGTCAATGCATGATGCATGCATGCATGCTGCCTCAGTCATTAGCTGAGATGTAACATGGCCAAATTTCTCCGATCCATCTCGTACTCCGAGAAAATAGATCACGATAGACCTACGGGGATGGCTTATAAATCCGGTCCAGGGACAGTGTGTCAGGCGCACTTTTCCAAGGCATTGTTGAGCTTCAGAGTTCCTTTCAGGTCGCTCGATCATATCCGTCTCCTCCGCATTCACTTTCCTCTTACTGGCATTCTGACAACTGAAATCTCACTATTTGCACAGCATGCGTTCCACTGGCGTCAACGGCGAACCATTCAAAGTCTCGCCCAACGTGGCTGTGATTAAAAGCATCAATCCAAATTACACTGGGTTTGACTATATCTCTTGGTATCTTGGCAATGCCCGCCAGGCTGCCACCTACTTCGTCGCTCACTTCGGCTTTCGGGTCATTGCATACTGCGGACCAGAGACCGGATCGTACCTGACAACTTCCTATGTTGTTGCCAACGGTAACGCTCGCTTTATGCTGACTGCTCCAATAGCCGGGCCACGGAACATACCCTCCGACAAGCATGTGTCCGAAAAGGACCGCAATCTGCTGAATGAGATTCAAGCACACTTGATCAAGCACGGCGACGGAGTCAAGGATATTGCCTTCCAGGTTGACGATGTTAGAGGCGTCTGGGAGCATGCTGTTCAAAACGGGGCTATATCTATCCAGAAGCCAACCATCCTTACCGATGAAAAGGATGGGGAAGTACTCTGTGCGACCATCAAGACTTATGGCGATACAGCCCACACCTTGATCAATCGATCGAATTACCGAGGAGTTTTCCTTCCAGGCTTTCGCTCGGTCAATGATATGAATGCTCTGAATGAGCTATTGCCCAAGGTCGATCTAATTGAAATTGATCACTGCGTCGGAAACCAACCTTGGAATGGTCTCGACGGGATTGTCAAATAGTAGGCATATTCATCCGACTACTTCTGTCTCCTTTCTTGGTATTAAGATACTTTCTAACAGCCTTGCTGATCACCGTATCTGTTTAGTTACGAAGATGCTCTGAACTTCCACCGCTATTGGTCTGTGGACGACAAAGATATGTGCTCGGACTATTCGGCCATGCGATCCGTCGTTGTGGCATCTCCTAACAATGTAATCAAAATGCCGATGAACGAGCCAGCCACCGGTTTGAAGAAATCCCAGATTGAAGAGTGAGTCACCGTTAAGCCGATGCCCCAAACAGATAAACAAAAAGGCCATTCAGGTGAAAATAATTGACTTCTATAAATTCTTCTAGATTCGTGGACTATTACGGTGGGGCAGGCTGTCAGCATATCGCTTTCCGAACCAACAACATCATCGAAGCCGTTGAAAACCTTACACACCGCGGTGTAAGCTTTCTTTCAGTGCCCAGCAGCTATTACGTGAATATGCGGGAGCGACTAGCCATGAAAAATGTGGAACTTGCCGAAGATATCACCCTCCTGCAAAAATATAATATCCTTATCGACTTCGATGAAGGGGGGTATCTTCTACAGATCTTCACGAAGCACGTAATCGACCGTCCTACTGTCTTCATAGAAATCATTCAAAGAGAGAATTTCGATGGCTTTGGAGCTGGGAACTTCAAGAGTCTGTTCGAAGCTTTTGAGAGGGAACAGGCGTTGCGCGGGAATCTCTGAATCCTTTTGGAGATGGTACCCGAGTCTTTCCATATGCCTTTTCGCTACATCTGACCCTTGCTGTGATGGGTTCCAGCATTGTTGTTGGCGCAAGGAATAAGATTTTAGCCAGGCTAGTCCGCTATGCTGATGGAGAGTAGAAGGGAAAGAATGACATATTCGACGAATATTCAGGCATTCATTCGCATATAGTTAGTTTAACCTTGGCGATCCGTCTAAGGACAGTTTACTTGAGTTTACGATTAGTTCGTTTGAGAACGGGAAATGCTACAACATTATTGGGTATTTGCGGAACAGTCAAGACGATAACTTTCTAAATACTCGAAGAAAATAGGACTATGATTACTAATGCTTTATAAGAAACATATCGTCTTCACACTATCTCACCCTTATATGAGCCCTTACAGTTCCTTATCTTAGCAGTTTCTGTATGGGTTTCTGTATTGATATAGCCGCCTTCAGTAGAGATTAGTAAATGAAGGCCCTGTTATGGATACATTGTGATTGCATGTACGCACCTAGATGTTATGAAAAATATAAATACCGTCCACAATCAAGCTAGTTTAGGCACCTAAGCTAATTGATACATATCAAATTTATGGTAATATCATTATAAATACCTTCGTTCTCTACTAATTAATCTTTTTAATAACCTTCTTTCCATTCTTGGCTCATTTCTCAAATACCTGTTTTATTAAATACTCAATCCTGTCTTCTTTCTCTTTACTGTAACGGCTCAGGCCAATGTAGATAAATTGATCTTATTGGGTAGCTCTAATACGAGAGAATTGCTTGAAGAAGAGAATATCCCACGAGCGAAGCTCTGAGATATTGTCTATCTCGAATACAAACAGAACAAACAAGAATCATGCACTAGCCGTCTCTTAGGTCAGCAGCCCCACCCGCCCGACAAGAGACGGCCTTGAAAGCTGGACCCCCAGCAACAAGCGTCTCTTCATGAACACCCGGAATATCTTAAAGCAGTCCAACTGCGAAACCAGCAGGAGAAAGCATACAAGGAAACCCCGAGTTCTCAGGCCCTCTACAGGCTACGCCGGCTGCAGCGCAATGTCCCAAATACATTTAACCGATTATCCACGGCTCTCATGAAGCAAATATGAGAGGAATTCGATAGGAAACAGGCTGTCATTGACATCGAGCGTCAGCTCTTGGGAACAGCTATCAATGATAAAGAAGCCAAAGAAGTCCTCCGTACCGAAGATCAGATGTCACCGGAACAGATTAACCTGATTGAAAATCTCTTTTCCTGGCCCACTTCCCCTTCCCTTGAAGAAGAGTGGAAGCGACAAAATGCAGCCACGCGAGCGGTCTCACAGTATTGCCCCATCCCTGAAGGAGGGCCCTTGCGCAGGCGGCCCAAGCGATCGGTACCCAGTAATGGATTTGGCAGTGAACTGCAAGCTAATTATAAGTGCAGCGCCAACAAAAACTGCTAACCAGTCCTCCATAAGATGCACCTGCGCAACCATGCGGCTACTGTTCACCGTCTCATAACGTGACCTTTAGTTATGCAAACAGTTGTTTCCGGACATCAAATTTCTCATAGGCAGTTTAGAATAAAAATCTTTTCTTTAGGGGCAAGATAAGAGGTTCTTAAAGGTTCTCTTTCAACATCAGCAATTCTTCCTTCTTGGAATTATAGATCTGTGATATTGCAGGTAATATTTAGTAGTTTAGATTATCGGGAATTACGTCTATTTTATTACAGATATAGATTTTATAAACTGGTTTCTGATAATTATGGCTAGACCAATCGTAACCAAACTCGGTTACAGTGCCCCAGTTAAGGTGCTGCTACGGGCAGTCTCGATCGGATATGCTGACCGTCAATTTCACCAGGGGCCTGTCTCACCGTACTGTCCATCTCTCTTTCGTTGATCCTAGCAATAAACGGCCGTAATATCGGTTTATTCCGTTCGCTAGGCCCACCGAATATCTCCAGTCTCTGGTCATCTGTCATTAGTTGTCCGCCCCATATTTGCTCAGCCCATATGCGCAGCATTCTGTCCAACTCTCCCCATGGGCGATCCTCCGAGCCACATGCCCCAGTCATAATCAGGGGCGGTTCAAATGAAATTCCCAAGTCTTTCTTGACAACTACACAGTACGTCATCCAACCGTCTGTTTCAATATCGAGGTCATAGTCGCCTTTGCCCCAGAATATTTCACAACTGGCGAGGATACGTTGGAACTGCGTGGAAGACATGAGAAGGGCTTTGTTTCAGGCTTGCTGGGGCAAGAAATATAATCAGTGATGGTAGGTTAAGTTAGAAATAGTTGATAACTTTGTACTGTTATCTTTTCCACCAGTAACCAGATTAGGGAGGTGGCGCGGCCACGAAATGGTGGAGTAGTGCATGGAGGTTATCCAACCTATGCCTCTGCGCTTGGTAGACTTAGAGGGTGGGGTGGTATAGCAGCACTGAGTGGATCTTGATATTATAATGGAGATCTTGTGGAGCATCATAAATGGAGTTGTTGTGGTTCCAGAATATCGGTCTGATATTGACCCGTGGATGTACACTGAGCCATGTGATGTTCATGTGGACAGTCTCATCAATGAATCATTATCACTGCACCATTTCTCCCACTGGTTTCCAACCAACATGCCCTTGAAGACACCTTCACTCTTTGATTGTTTTGTTTACCTAAGTGCTAAGATCAACTAACTTAGTCTATTTTGGGAAAGTTCCGGATTATCAATGATGCTGTATCTGTATCAAAACCTCTGCTTACACTGATAAAAATAGATGCTAACTATGTCTCATGTCAACCAAAATTACTGCTAGGCCACAAAAAGCGTGCACACACCAATTGGGCTTTATACAGTCAATTTCAGTGTTTTCCCGGGTTGATATCTCGTAACTGTAATAGAGTTTGTACTCAGACTTAGTAGAGTTAAGGGTTAGGTATCGTAGGTGGTGGGATCGACTCAGTGCGCGGTGTACAGCCAGTAGGTTTACTAATTGCACGGACTTAGCTTAACCCCGCCATGATTGCTGACTCTCAGGCTTAAACTTGACCTAGATCAGTGAACCAGTGCCATGCATAAATATTGCAAATTGGTGCCAGAGAATTTTGATTGTGAAAAGTGCCTCTGGCACCAATTGCAATATTTATGCATGGCGCTGGCCAGCATCACTAGTGTTGTCTCTCACGTCATCCATGTTGAGCACTTCAGGAAAATAACACCAATTCATCCATTGGTCAAACGTGTAGTGGTGAATTCATACCACTTGTTGACATGAGCCTATATCAGTATCTGGGGAACTCTGGCCTCAAAGTTTCAAAAGTCATTCTGTACGCTATACTACCCAAATCTGTCCCTCTTCTATGCTAACGTTGACAGTGGAGCAATGAGCTACAGGACACCAAAATGGCAAGGTTGGGTTCTCGACAAAGAAGATTCACTTCCTCTACTAGAACATGCATACAACGCGGGAATCCGCACCGGGGACACTGCAGATCTCTATTCCCACGGACAGTCTGAACAGGTTATTGGTGAAGCTATCAATAAGTACAACATTCCTCGAGAAAACCTTGTCATCCTCACGAAAATCTACTTCGGTGTCACAGTATAAAAATTAAACGCCGCTGCATTCGCAATACAATGGAGGGAAAACCCGGAAGGGAGAAAAACCTCCATCACGGCACATGTACGGAAATTAATCAGGCCACTGAACCCAAAAGTTGGGTCCCCATCTCCCCTGAGCGAAAGGCAAGTTTGGCTATATCGTGCTTAAAAGTGTCCCTTCACATTCTCCGCCAACGTAACAGAATTTAGTAGATCCGATTGCTCGTTTTCTGGGTTAGTCCAAGGATTCATTGTGCAAGTCACACAGAATCAAAAGGAAGCCCGGTTATTCCAGCTCCAAGGGGCGGTGCGGCCCAATCGGGCTAGGTACGGATGTTGCAGTCGACGATGTCCTCTCGACGGGGGTGGCTGTTTTTGTACAACGGGAGTTTTCGTTGCGGGAGGTATATCTAGTTCAGGTCTTTCGGTTGATTTTCCGGTTGCTCTTCCGGTGGTTTCGTCAGCAGGTATATTCAGTTCATGTCTTCCGGGTGCTCTCCTGCTGGCTTCGTCCGGGGATTCTGGCGTGTATTCGAGCTGGAAAATACCGAGTGGCCCATCGTTTTGGATCTTGACAACTTGCCCATTGGGCCCCAACCACCCTAGATGGGTTCCCTTTTGATCAAAGAAGTTCACTGCGACGAAAGCGCCATTGTCAAGCTCGACGCTGCGATTTGGATCGGGATTGAATGCTGCTTCAATTGCTGCATCAACTTGTCTGTTCAGTTCTGCACAACGCTTTGAGTCAAGGTTATTCAAAGTCCGCATGAATGCCGCTCTGACCGGTAAAGGCAGGAATATACGGTTTATGGCCTCAGCCACAGCAGCCGTGGTGGCGTCTAGGGCTTTAGCTTGTACTAGAATCTTCCTTTGCCCGCAGGATATTGGCATCAACGAAAGCCACTAGTAGGTTCGATGAGTCACGTTTGCTACCATAGAGAAATCCTGCATTGCTATACTCGTCGTTGTCGTCGGTTTGCCGCAGGGGATACAGATCCTCACGTTCATAGTTCTTCGTCATGTGCCGGAACTGGACTTCACAATGAGACGTGGTTCTGGCCTTTTTACCACATCTCCTGAATAAACTAGAATCAGTGCTTCAACTCGATGCTTGACATAGTCATCGCCGCGTCCCTCTTTACATTTGTCTTAGCTGTTGTATTATAGTTTTCTCCAATTGATAGTTCATCATATAAGGTATTTGACTCTTCTTTCTTCATGGCTGTTTCTTCCTCGATACTAGCTGATGAGGCAGACTCCTGAGCAGAACACTAGATCCTACAAACTCGCTGACAAATCATCATTTGCGCTTTCGTCTCTTGTAGTGCGTGGCGACTCGGTACGGTTCCTAGGGACAGGTCATTCCGCGTAACAAAGATCCTCCCTTGTGTTTGGATTCCGATCCACAACTCTGTTCTTTCCTCTTTACGTCTTCATAGAAGTGGATACTACAAGGCTGCTCATTAGTTGCCTGGGTGCACCGATAATGCTCTTATTTAGATGTGTTTACATGTCGACAACCACAACTCACGCATTGTCCGTTGCCTTGTTTCTGTATGTTGGCGATACTCGGCTCTAGTAGCACACATGATATTCTGAGAATTAAAAGAATGGCGGAATACGGTTAAATCTATAGCATTAAACACTTACGTTCTAGGAAAAGGGGGCCGCAAGACAGCAAGACAGCAAGAGAGAATGTACAGGTTGAATAAAACAGTGAAGAGCTTCAGTCCTGATCTCCCTCACATAGTTCACTGGGCCATTCCTGTGCATAAAAGGTGACTTCGTCAACCCCAGTTTGATCTTTGATATCAGTGATAAGGTCGTTGACATGGGTGAAAACAAATATTTGTCCCTGAACCTGTCCACCAAAGCCCATTCCTACCATAGCGCCGGATTCTGTGAAGATAAGTGCCCCTGAGTCACCAGGCTCAAAGTAAGGCTTCTCTGTCTCACACAAGACTGAATGCTCATCCGTCGCGCGTTGTTTTCCATTTGCTGCAACAGTAAAAATAGTAGTGGCAAGCATATTGTATCTGCTGATAGTCGCATTCGTTTTGCAACCGTACTTGTGAAGGATCTCGTGATGATCCAATGAGATATCATGCACTATAAACCCGTTTTCAAGTTTCAGGCTTTTTGGATCACGTTTATCGGCGAATTGACCAAACTGAAAATTTCTTATTAAGCAATCTTCAAACAGAAATAGGACGGCAGAAACCCACTTTATTAGACGGATACGCTCGAGTTGGATGGGGTCTCAAAAGGGCCCAGTCCATAACCGTGGTCGTAATCCGAGTGCCGTCGCCAGAATGTGCCCAAACCTCGCCAAACCTATACATCTTTGAATCACAATAGGCATGTAGATCTACAATCCAAGCTTCATAAGTATCGATAGGAGCTCGGAGCTTTTGCCACTTTGCTTTCAGATTGTCCGCGAGGTCTCCGTCTGCTCTAAGTTCTTCCAGGGTGCGATAAGGTTCTCGTCTCTTGAGGTCAGAGACTGTCTCCTTAAGTCCACCGATATACCTTTTGATCTCACCATAACTTGGGCAGTCGACCTCCTGCGCTAATCCAGGTAGACTGACACTATTGTGTAGTTCCGGATTCTCATCTCCCACCTGCTTCAGCGTTTCAGCTGTGGAGCCACGTACCTGGAGATCTTTGAGGTGGTGATTGAATACGCAATGGCGGCATGTTAGGCCAAATGGCTCCCATTCAGAGTCAGGCTTTTGCCGTATATTGAGCCATCCCCCAAAGGTGCCGTAGCTGTCGCTATTCTGAGCACCCACGCTATGCCCAATGCTCGCTACTCTTGGGCCGTTCTCAGTGTGAACAGGATAGCGAGAGTTGATTTCGCTCTGTATCGGCCGCCGACGGGCACAAAAGATGTTGCGATCTTTATGAATCTGCACGTCAACTGTAGGAAGTTCGAACTCGTTCAAGGTGTTACTGATATCCTGCCTGGCGATATTCCAGTCTCGTTCAAAATTTGGATCGACAGTGACGAGTATAGTCGGTTCGCAGTCCGCAGTGCAAGTTTCGTACCCCATGCGATAGCAGCCTAGCAATTGGAATCCAGATACATCGACAGAGTCTAGGATCCGTTTGCGAACATTATCCCATTTAGAGAAGATTGTGTCGGTCGGCTCGCATACAAAGATTCTGGGACCTTCTTCTAGGCGCCAGTCAATAATGTCAACTGTCACATGTTCGAAGCCGTAGCTGCGAAGAAGACCGTGCATCTCTTGTGCTGCGTTGAGCCAGTTCTCTCGAGACTCATCCTCTTGCGGATGTACACAAACTTGTAATGTTGGGATCGGCTCTGCGGAATCGTCATAGCACGGCGTGCACTCCACAAACCGTGTGAACCCGCGGATATTCCAACTTTGGACAATGGACCGCAGTTTATCAAAAGGAATATCTTCATTCCAGACGCTGCGGCTGTTGTACGGTATTTCGCAGAGCTTTGGCCCACCAGCTCTTAGAAGTCCCGCCGTTATACTGGATATCATCGCGGTAGGTGCCGAAGTCGCTGCGGTTGGACGAGACTGGGGAGTTGTATTGAGGCCTTGTGATGTGGATACTGCATAGATATCCTTTAGAGCACTTAGAGCTCTTAGATCTCTTGAAGCGCTTGAAGCACCTGGAGCCCGAAGTGTAAGGCAAACAACTTCTGCCATTTTTAGCCAAATTTCGGTAAAAGTGCCAATAAACAGAGGAATATCAGGAAGTTGGTATGTTGAGAACGGAAACGTTGTGTCAGGGAGAATATAGGACCTATATAAACAGTATCAACAATGTCTTACCTCTGATATTCTTTGATTTAACTGCCAGTTAACTCAAGTGGGTACATGGTATTCGGTATATCATATATCGGAAGGATGAACTATGTGACAAGTGGTATTCTCTGCCAAACAGTAGAGGTATTAAGCATATGTGTGCAGATGAAGGTATCACAAGTGTTAAAGCTCTGAGTCAATATATAAGGCTGGGTTGGGAATTCACAAAATAATCATTCAAGCCATAAGGGCCTTTGTCTGTATGGATGCCTTCTGTACAGCAAACAATCTCAACAGTGGTCCTAATCCAGACTGACTAGTGCCTTAATATCTTTCCTCAATGTTACCTAACCTAATAGAAGTAATGTACCAATGTCTATAACGAAATAAAGGGTTTATTTATCAGAAAGATATCTATTTATTTTCTTTTATCTGGATAACTGCGTAGATATGCCATTGCCTATGATACAGCCATAGCAGCTTGTAAGAACAGGTGAGTTTACCTTAGTGTTCACTTTGGTCTAAAAATATAACAAACACTCAGACAAATTCACATCCAAATAAAGTATTCAATTCTTCTTAAAAAAGAACCACTATCTCCCTTTGTTTACCCCTTTCAGATGCGACATACATTATCCATCTGTCTTTCATCTGAGGGTTAAATAGGTCTCTTGGAAGGGACCTGTGCTAAACTTCTGCAGTCATTGAAAGGCATGTAAATGCACAATTTTAATTTTCTTTGACAGACACTCTTTTGTGGAGCCTCAGATCCTTTGAGCTTTATATAGATGTTTTGGCTTTATACCCTCCTATTCCTTTGTCCCAGTTATATCAAATCACACAGTCACATCAGACATTCCTTTTTCTTTCTTTTTTTTACGAGCGAGTTGACAAAATACTTTTGGAAGCTAGGTTCTTTGTAATCTAGAATACAACATTGGCTGAGCGTTCTGTTCTTAGAGCAAAGGGTGGAAAGAAGTTAGGGCACTGACAGAAAGTCAACTTTAGTAAAATAAAATAATTAATTGCATTAAATACAATATACACTTTGATTGCGTTGCTTTGCCTTAGGCTTCAGCCTCAGAGTTGTCTGCAACTATAGCAAAAGTATCAGGATAACCGTTAGGTATGTATTCAATTTGTTCGCATTTATTACAGTGATCTATATATAGTTCACTGGCCCAACAGAGCTTTGCACTAGCTTCTGGTCTTGGTGGCCACCCGCTGGATCTCCGTGGTTATCAGGCTAAGCCTTATTTCCAGAACACTGGGACGCGAATGAGTCTCCGCAGTATCCATCGTTGTCTAGCACCCTTCTGCCTAAGATAGGCTTCTGTCTCCACAGTCTGACCTTTACCCGCTTGTAGTAGCCATGTCAAAGGGGAAGTGAGCATGTCATCGATGGAATTCACTTTCGCTCCATTCTGCACTAGAAGTATTACTGTATCTATTGCGCCGTATCCCGCAGCCCAGGAGAGAGGTGTTCGTTTATTCTGATCACGATTGTCCACTGGTGCTCCATTCTGGAGTAGCAAGCGGAGAAGCTCAGTACAGTTTCCCATTACGGCGTAATGGAGAAGAGATCTTCCAAAAGGCCCTCGGGGGTTTGGCGCCCTGTTTGCTTGAAATGAAGCATGCGCGAACTCGATAAATTTGACAATATTATGGTTCAACTTTATTTCTTTGATTTCTTTCACGTGTTGGAATTCAACACCTTGTCTCCCAAAAGTGTGGATTTCTTCATTTTCATTATTGCCCAGTATTGTATTGAATTTTGATACAGCGTGAGTAGGTATATTGAGTAGATATAATAGGCAGGGGAGATAGTATTAAAGTATAAGCAGTAGGTATAGCTGCTTTAAATAGTGACCTAGCCTGGAAATCGCTTGTACGTATACAATATGAATCAGGTCAGAAGTGAAGCACATACCAGTACTCTCTGAAGTAAAGGTACCCCAGACCAAGGAAGAGTAATGAATGGAGGGTGAGAATAACAGCTGGCCAGGTAACATACTACCTAATTCCAGAGTGACCTCAATTTTCATCGAGATACTCAAGGTACCGTATCTATTGGCTTCTTTTGAACTATCCGGCTAGCAAAGCTTTTTTCAGCGCTGTGACTCAGAGAAAAAAAACCCACCCTGCTACCGTGTTTTTGCCAAACAATGATCACTGACGCCTGTCAGAACATATGGAGTATATCAGCGTTGTGCAATTGACCATTATGCCTGGACTATATGCTTGGTCCGGCCAAGAGGCAGCGACCCTTCCTCTGATTTCTTCGCGGACAAAAAGGCCTGAAAGACATAAAACAGGGGGTCTACCTTTATTATATTACATTGATTGATCTGTGGAGTTGCCGCAGTAAATCCTTGACGCTGTCTGATTCTTGGTGATGAAGGGACATGCGCCTGATGAACGACACTTATGAAAGGTTATAATTTACGCCACATATAATCAAGTATTCATTGCAAAGCACCTATCAGGTAGTGATAAGGTGCTGACCAAAATCAGTTTTGACGGCATGTACACTGGAGATTCCTCCATTGATAAAAGACAATATGTGCTACGAACCGCCCTAGTTGACTGGATTATTACAAGTGATGTGCTGTTGAATACTTCTCGCTTCCTTTCATAGCATCATCTATCCGTTCTTAGGGTTACTCATTTCGGGCATGCCACTAGCATATGGAGAACTTCAGTCCTAAATTATTCAGCAAGCAGTCCCATAGCTTGGAACTGTACGATAATATAGGTTTCAAATATTCCTGTACCTATCGCGGACGCCTACGGTGCGCATTAAAAATAATTTTCAAAAAAGAAACTTTGTGTAGGAGTGGTGTGTAAAGGGGCTCTGTGCAAGCTGGGCATGAAATCACGTGCGTCATATTCCGGTGCTATTCTAAACTTGGTTACTAAATTAGGTCATCGGGTTTATCCACTCTATTATACCTGATCTGTGGGTTTTGTCCCCTACCGCATCCTATGATTTAATGTGCGAAACCACACCAGCAGCGTTCCCACTTTTCCATTTGATATGAATCTATACGAAACACATGATCGGTTTAGTGGCTTGGCCTGATCACCGATCTCCAACCCCTGAAGGCTTTACCAATTAGTGAGAATAAAGAAGAAGCACTCAAGATAGTTGATATAGTCGTCCATAGAATTGAGTATCTATCGGAATAGCATCCGGTCCTCAGTAGGCTACGTACGTGTAGCTGATACAGCATCATTCTGCCCATCTTTCCCCTGAGATCACAACACCATTGCCTGTCCTTCTCTGTATCAGCATGGACCACGCTGCTCTAGGTATGGAAAGCCAAGGATCTGCCGGAGCTTACAATACCCGAATCTAATAAATGGTTCCTAATATCCGTCCTACGTCGCATGGACTATCGCTTCCTGGAAATATAATGATACATATACGGATCCCTTCTTGGGCGTGTTTTGAAGTGGCCCTTGCTTTTATGGCGACGATATTCCTAGGTGTCACTGAGGGGCACAGATAATTGTTTTATGAGCACACTTTCAGACAGAGATGACTTGTGAAGCTACCTGAGACCGGTTTGGACCGATTGATTTTCAGTGGCTAAGGTTCGATTTATAATGGATATCAACGTGCAACACTGTATTCGGTTTTGGCTTTTCAAGTGCCCGAGTGCTATCAAAGCTTCTCCCTTAGTCATATATCACTTCTTGGCCTTGGGTCAGAATACTTGAACCTGTTGGGCAGGAGTGCGTGTTGTATCGGCGGGGTGGCATGGTGTTCGGTGGATTTTTGAGATGGTCATGCTAACTCTCTTGTCAAATCAAACGAAGCCTCGAAAAAACGTCATTCTTCCCTACCTAGGTGCTACTATAGTAGGGTCTAGTTCGAGGTGCGACAGATCAAATTATGCTTTCAAGTCCTCCTTGGTAAGGGAATGGTACTTTTTCCAACGGGATCAAACGCAAGGTGCCTTATTGGGTAAAAGTAATGATGCGAAGAGCGGGTACATTTTTAACCATTTTTTAGGTCTCTCGCCCCTTTTATAGAAACCGGCCAGGGCATGACTTACATCAAATGGCGATGGCCTGGGTGTTTTAACTTGAACCAAGTATTAGCCCAATTGAGTCGATCGTCAATCCTTCTAGTCGAAAGAATAGCCCCGTGATGCGATATCCCTGGGGCGGGCGGAGAGTTCTGATGCTGTATCTAACGCCAAGTTCTAAAAGCCCATTTGGTTCGGAGGACAATTCGCGGTTGTAGTTGGTTCTGAACTTTGCAAGGGTAAGAATTGACCTCCACATCTAATAAGAGCTTGATACTTACAGTCACTGCGAGAGGGTAAAGCTCGGATGCCCGCACATCGATTTCAGTCAGTATTTCATGAGGTGCGTGTAATGTAATGGATGCTGGAACGATATGACAAGCACCGACACAATAAGTACGCGACAATATCTGTACAGATAGTCCGAGGATACCGTTAAGGCCGCCAGTACCGTAAATTTGGATAGCTTGTAGATCTCGTTCAAACCGTAATGCTTCGACGGGGAATTTGCCAAATCTGTCCACCAATTCTCTTTCTCTTTCAGGGTGTTGTTGTACGTAATGTTCTTCGGCAATGAACCAGTGGCTAGATAGGGACGGATGTTTATCCTTCATCAAGATGGTCTCTTCAAACGAAGGAGGGGTCATCTGATGCCAGCTGAGGTCTCGAAGTTTAAGCGCCTGATCTCTGTGAGCAATTTCCATAGACAAAAGATAAGGTACTCACATCACGAATAATCCGAATTCTTGTACGGTTCCGTCTTAGGCTGATCCCTCCCCAACAGCAATTGAAGGCAGGATCGCCAAATAACCACGGTGAAATGCCAAACTTTATACTTCTAATCCCCAGTGCATCCACGGCGAGCTCAATTGTTTCGATTGTCGTATTGGAAACATCAATTTGACAGAGGCTTTCGGTCCTGTTGCCAAAGAATAGCCTTGACTTCCTAGAAACAAAACCAATGCCACAAACGTAACACTTGCCATCCAATCTAATACTGCATACTTCAATTGTACTAGCGTGATCCGGAATATCCAATAAATTTTCACATAGACCGAATTGATGGTTTACTGCCCGAAGAGGAGCCCGTGGATCGAATGTCGACAAAGCTGAGCTCTTGTCACTTAAGAAGGGTACTAGTTTGGCGATTCCCGCCACTCTTCGCACAATTTCCCATCTTCTATCCAATTCACACAACCGAGCCCAAACCGAGAACGCAATCATCAAAATTCGCTTGTCTTCCTTAATACCGGCGGTGTTCGCGCTGCAGCGGTAAAAATGAAAAGGATTTGTACGGCAAAATAAGTTAGCGTAGGACAAGGCCTCTTTGCTAGTACAGAAAAACCGAACTAGATCTGAAGGTGATAGGTGTTCGAAAATGATTGTTAGGACCTCTGACGGTAACCTTAGCAGGAAAGGTACACAACATCTGGCAGTAGCTGGTTGTAAGAGCAATACGGTTTCTTCCGACTGAGGGAGACATTTCTGAGGCCTTATGGATATGAACGGGTCTGGACAAACTGAAAATTCCTTTAGTTAAATCCGGTGGCCGCTAATCAGAAAAGCTTACTGGAAGGGTTTATCTTCAAATCGTGTCCAAAGTTCCTTTCCCGGTCAGGCTGAATCGCCTGGCAGAGTTTGAATACCTGATGAGAGCGAATCTTTGACCCAGCAAACTCACACAAAAGATGGTAACACGACGTATGGATGAGGAAGACCTCTACGGAGGTGAAATAAGGAGATGGATTAAGTCTGATTTGTGTTCGCTTGTCATGTGTTGTGAGGCTTCGGGATTCTTGCAGGGAAACATTCTTATTGAAGCGAAGAAAGCCAAGTTCGATATGGTTGCCTTCTAAGAAGACTTTTGCACTTTAGATGACGCTAAATAAAACAAGGGTATCTGGTAGAAAACCGCACCTGTATTAAAATCCTTCGTCCAGTCCGCTTGGCATATACCACCGGAACAAATTACGCACTGACGCGAGGATTCCATTAGAGCTGGTCAAAGAATTTTCTGACCTGAATATGAACTCAATTTCGACTCGACTTTAGTAAAATTGTTGGGCGAGAGCAATATATATCCCTTGTTTAACATTACACAGGAAGCCGTGCCAAGGATACTATTGCCAAGGCCTTGTATTGCATTAACCACCAACTGACTCTGAAACGGAAATTTGAGGCTAAGCTGAGTAACAGCTAAACTCTGACTAATTAATAGCAACAAGACCGAACCAAGAATAGAGTATATGAAAAATTGGCCCTGATTGAACGAAATAAAACTAGTCACAGCTAAGTATACTAAACTGAACCAAAACCTAAAATTTCACTATGTTGAATAGATGCTAGCCAATCCTACTAATGCGACACCCCGTTGTGTTTTTCCTGTTTTCTGAATGCAGGTAATCCTTGCCATCCTCTCTGCCTTTGAAGAGAGGCTAGGTTATCAATCAAATGAGGACGTTGAATACTCATAGGCAGATTTTCCGGGTACACCCCTACTTTCATGCAGCAGTAGTGGTCTGGCCAAGTCGTTTCCGGAATTCCCAGATCTCTTTCATAACAGGAATGATCTTCAAGCCATCTGTTTTCAGGTCCCAGTAAGCCTCTTCTTTATTGACATGTAAGTTACCCGAAAAGGTCCTGTCTTTGAAGACACCATTTGCCCTGGAGAACTCGAAAAATCGGATCTTGGTCCCATACGCCGTTGCCCCATACATGGTTGGGTTCACGTCTAGACCTCCAAATTCCTGATTGAGGTATCTGTCGCCGTATTCCTGTAGCTGCGACTCCAGCTCTCCCCGGGATTCCACCTTATGGCGCTTAGTCTCAGCCAAAAGTACAAATACCAGATTCGGTTGAGGTAGGTTATCGTAATATCCAACTGTTATGTCAACAGCTTGGGGGTTGTCGTCCAGTTGTTGTTCACCGAAGACCGAGAGAGAAGGGCATCTGAAGTACTCATTGAAAAGCTCTTCAAATAAGGGCCTTGTTGCTGTCTCTCGAAGTTCTGGCCTACTGGCTCGATCATAAGCTCCTCGAAGCTGTGGGGTAATGATAAGATTTTCTGTAACAGGGAATGTCGCAATTTTGGGCTCGGAAGACATTATGGTCTTGTTTTAAACTGAAGCAGATATCGATATGAAGTTAAGAGGAGAAATATAAACGGCTATATTGTTCAAACAAGATTTTGCAGGAGAATGGTAGATAGAAAGACATCAAACACGAAGAATGCTCTTCGCCTATATACCACACTTTTGACCTGTCCCCTCTTTCATCTTACCAATGTCCCGAGTAATGAATTGCATTGTGCAACAGAGTTAAAGCTAGTGATATGCTTTGATCTTGCTCCTTTCCAAGAGAAAATCAAAAATTATTTCCCCAAATCCGCGATGTAGTAACATTCGGGAGCAAGAGCACCAGAGACAGGTACCCGAGAAGCTTGCTCTTGACCGAAAGTATATCCCTGCTAGTAGAGCTACAGGGGGCCGTATGTCCATTGTCCATGGCCTGGACGAAACATCATCTAGCTCTTCGAAACCGCCCAGTATGAAAAACTCATCCTATAATACTCTACTGGGACTGGCATGTTAGTAGGTTGTTTAGATTTAGCCTAGCTCGGCATTGTCTTTCGCTTGCACAAATAGTTTCATATAAACTCAGGTAAGTAAAGACAATCACATCATGCCTTCTTGTTATTGGCTGATTAATTTAGCTAGCCCCAGAGACTACTCTATTTTGGGAAAATCTCTTTGGGCACCTTTATGACAAGTGCCATTTCTATAGATCGTCGACGATGGTGTGTCCTGGATCCAATGTATACACAAGTATGTAACAATCCTAGCAGTTGACAAATCTGCACTATGGCCGAGAGCGATTAGAAAGTATCTGAGACAGTTCAAGCCGTAATAACTCTAATCTCCTTCTAAGTTGACTTGGAGCTGTATGTCAGCTGTACATGTACCGCAGATTATTAAAAGTTCGACTCTGCATTCAAGATTCATCCACAATATGATTTTCTACAACTCGAAGCTATGTATTCTCTTCTTGCAGCAATATCACCTTTTTCCGGTTGCCTCGGCTGGCAACGCAAAGCCACCAACACATCTTCTCAAGGTCTGTACATTCATGGCGTTCATAGATATAGTATGCTCACCCGTTGCTAGATTCATTAATGATTATCCTACAAGACGGGAAGGCTCGAATAAATGGATGCCCCGCGTTTCGAAGGCACTACATAGAGCGGCAAGTTGGTGACAGCTACCGGATTGCGCGCCAAGTGAGCATGTGTGATTTTGAAGGAGGGCAACCAGTTACTTTCTTTTGGACAGAAAAATTCTTAATAGAAGAAAAAATGTTGCGGAAGACTGAGCGTGGGCTACAGGTACTAAAATATTACGATATTTGTAAGCGGTCCACAAAGTGAGCAGCTTACTATTATTATTTTTATCTATTTCTACCCTGTGAGTGTTCTATAGCCACACTTAACTCGGCGGGAAATGTATATATTCTGAGAATTGAGTTATGCGTTACTTTCACAATCAGGTGAATATAGCCAAATAATATCATCCTAGGTTTTTAGCTTTGTCCAGCAAGGTATGTTCTCTGCTCACCCCATTAATTAGATCCCTAGGGTTTGCTTTCAAAACGGCTGATTGCGGTAAGGAATCAACTCTACTAACATACTGACATCTCCCCGTCTGCACAAGAGAAAACCTCAAATCATGATCAGGCCGATAGTCCAGTTCAAATATATCAGCTTGAAGCGACGTGTTTTCATACCACTGCCCCAAAGTGCTAATACCACCATCATCGTTGTATATCAATAGCATACCTGTAAAACGAGGTCCTAAATAGCAGACTTCCAGCCTTTTGGCATTCGTCAAAGGAGCTCGCGAGACGAAGCTGCTCCAGGGGGAAGCATCTAGAAGGTCTAAATGATCGAAATTATATGGCATGCACGGCATCATATCATGGTGTGCTGGCGTCAAAGAGGATACTCCAGGGCGACAGATAACACCTAAGCTGGTGAAGGTAGAAAGCCCTGGTGAAATATCATAATATAGACCCGAGACATCACCATCACTGCCACTGAATAATGTCTTAAACTGAATTTCCACAGGCAGTATATATGGCCCGAGAGTAAGTCTTCGTCCCTTGTTCGTTGTAATCTGTATCGGAATCAGAAGATGAGTGTTAAAAAGAGTGGTGGGCGTACTGCAAGATATGGCCTGGACGTTCTATCCCAAATCACGGATATTGATGTCAAATTTTCGGAACGCGCAAGTCGAACATGAATTGGACAGCCTTTTTGTTGGCCATACCAAGACACTGTATGATTGATATCTGAGCAGGCGTTGAAATGTATTCCCAAGCCGACGAAGCCTCTGCTGGAACAAAAGGCAGCAAGTCCACGCAAAGAGTACCCATCCCCTGTGTAATGGGATATAAGCCATGAATCTTTGATTTCGGGAAGTAAAGTCGCAACTTCGTGGCCAGTTGTAGAATGAGCTCTCCGATAGGTTATATAGTTGGCTTGGCAGCCACGGGTCACCCAAAGAAAGTCATGTCCGAAATCTTGCTCATTGCCATGTTCGGGAACCCACTTAAAGTGGGAGATTTTCATTACCTGTTTCCATTAATATCTTAGCTTCTTTCTTAGGATCTGGCGTCATACATCCCACTCTAGTTCTATCCAAGGTGATTGTGCTGACTGAGGATAGATAACACCAAGAACTTCCTGGCTCTTAGCTTTTGAGCTCTTGGTGATGCTTGCTATGGCCTTTGATAAGAAATCGATCTGCCGTAGTCTGTATAGGCCAAGGGTAAAGGCGATTGCAGCCACAGGAGAAGATATTGCGCGCCTGAGGGACCAGTTGCTCCGATATCCGTAAAGTCTGTCTCCTATACAGATACCGGATATATAAGTTCCATCTAGAGTGGAAGTCAAATAAAGAAAAATATCTCCACATAATTGAACGGTTGCGGAGGCTGGTGTTCTATCTATAGCTGGTCAAATTGTCTTAGCAACATAGAGTGAGAGTAAGCAGCGAACAGCGGAAGGTGGTATAAATTCCCAGACAATGCTAATAAGTTCCGGTGGAAGGTTCCTAACGTTGTCAATAAACTTATTTAGGGTTGTTCTGTGACAATTATCCAACGGGTAACCCGCGTCTGCAAGAGATGAGGGTGCATTTATGGGTTTTGTTTCCATAGCCGGAACTAGGTGTGACAAGGAACGGATTGATGTCGATGCAATCCGGTAATGAGAGTAGATGCTCTGTGGAAGCTTCTCCCAGAGAAGTGGGTTCATCGCTATTCCGAGATTATAGACAAAGCGGATAGATGGTGGTCTGTCTATTGCTGTCCAGCAAAGGTTATGAATCGAGAGCGCAAGCATAGATGTCCTACAATTATTGTTAGAATCAAGTATTTGAATGTTCAGTTTTGGTAAAACAATCGCACTATTCCTCCATTGGAAGTTTAATGACTCCGTCAAGATAGGTCCTTGGTGTTGGTTCACGAAAACGACTACTTATGTCAGTTAATACGACACTTAAAGCTATACGGTATTTACCTGAGCGAAAACGAATGGTTGAATTGAATTTCTCACCACATAATGAACAATATGGTATCCTAGAATATATAAGGGACTCCATTGGTGCATTCATGATGTAGAGAAGAGACTTAATTAGGCTATGAGCTCTTTCGAAATGAGGCCTAAGAATTAGACAAAAACCGGGAGGGTCTTTCTTCGCATATAACTAAGGGGATTTTCAAGCTTTGCATCCGAGAGGAGCTGTCAGGCGTGAGGAGGAAGAGAAAAGAGGAAGGTTGGGAAATACATGGGGAGTATCATGTGACTTAAGATGCAGTTAGGACAAACAATGAGCGTAATATCCGGCATCGCCAATATTAGCAGCATTGGTAGGATGGATCTACACCGGGATGTACTTTGTGGTGAGACTTGACGAACACTACACCACCAATGGGGTAGCACATTGGTAGGCTTGCACCGCTAGTACATAACTAGGCATCGTGATAGGACGGATAAGCTATAAATTACAATGATGTTCAGAATTTATTCTGTAAATAAGCTCTATAGTTCACTTGACTGAGCCTTGGTTCACAACAGATCCTGTATTCAGTACCAAACATAGGAACTTTTTATGCCGCTGACACTCAGGTGTGGGAAGATATGAACTTCGGACATGGTTTCCATAATATATCACCGTTTCCTCCACTGTTGCACCCTGTTCGATTAGAGAGGAGTCAGTGAGTGACATCGACCCAATAACAATAGTAGCATCTAATATGATCCCCAGGACAACACCAAGACCCTGCCCAAAATTTCACTGGAGCCTCCGGATCCCATTCTTCAAACTGAAATTTTTGGTCAATATCACCTTGGTCATGTGGTGGGATTTCTCGCACCAACTGTAGAAGGCGGCCAAATCAGAATTATTTTAGACCTTAAACATCATCAATTGATAGGCCATGGAGATCCTCCAAAAACCCCAAAAGAGCCAATCATTGTTTTCTTCTGTTGGAATCACTATAAAGTTTAGGTAGAAGTCCCATACTTCTATGCTCGATCTCATCTAAACGATCTTCACTTGTTGATGTTTTGAACCAAGTCTTGGTTCTATTTCCTCTTTTTTTTTTCTGCCTTATGGCTATATTAAGCCTTAATCCTGCTCCAGTATCTATATTGGTCTGCATAAACTATCATCCAGATTCAGCTAAGCAAATGCACTTACCCCTTCATTCTGGTAAATGGCTAAATCCTATGCGCTTCTCCGAGACGGCTTTCTCATATCATGGTTTACTTCACTACTTGTTTACTACTTCGGTTATTGTAGTTCTAAGAGCAATCGAGCATATATTGATATCTATACAACAATAAGCTCTTTAAAAAGAATAAAGAATATATTAATCACTGGATAGAGTATTTAAATCTGTTATATTTCTATTTCCCACAATTGCCACTGTATATATAATGGTGGTTAATTTGAAGATGGCCAGCCAGCTCAGTGTCCGCTTACGTTAGTTAACTTAGTTAAACAACTATCAACAGGTTAGTTAAGTAAAATAAAAGATAAAAGGCTTCTTTTGATGCACATAGTCCAGTTAATCGTTATCATCAGAATTATTACAACAGGCTAAAAAACATAGTTAGCACCTGGAGCGGTGATGCATACATATATACAACGAATAACCTTAACCATGTTCCTGGTCAATTTTTCAGCAATGAACGCAGTATATGGACCCCTGACTGGATCTTGACCAGTTGCTGCAATAAATCACTGAGTGAGACTCCTTTAGATTCTTTCCTGATATATCCTCTCCTATTGTAATCCCAGATCACGCCCCATCTATGGCCTGTTAGACTGAGAATATTCTTTCTCACGTCATTGTACTTACACCCATTGTATACAAGGACATGCTCTATTTGAGACCATGAGATGTTCTGGAAGCCATAGGCAACCTTTCAACTCTTTGATATCAGGACAGTGGTCAGTAGTTTGAAATTCGACAGTTTGTAAAATATGTGCCGGAGACTCTCGGGCCCACTTCAATACATTTTCTGTGAGGTCCGCATAAATACACTAGTCAGGTTTGCTGAACGCGATGATCCAATGTGCTCTGCAGTAGCTTAAGATAAGTTGAGCCTTGACGGAGATATCAGGTAAGGAAAGCATATTGGAGAATATCCACCAGAAGTAATCAATATTCTCAATAGATCCTGTATTCTTGGATCACCCAGTGTCACACCGGCCTCGAGCAGTAGCAAGATACGTCAAAAAAAAAAAAAAAAAAAAAAAAAAAAAAAAAAAAAAAAAGGAATGAATAAGCCAAGCAATAGAAGATAAGAAACAAAGTAGAAGGTGAAGGCGTAGTCCATCAGGCGTCGTCATTGCCACCTTTCAACGCCCAAAAAGAGCAGAAACGTCTTCGCAAGGAAACTACTTACTGGCAATTAGTATATCTGTTCTCTGGCTCCCACAATGGTGGCAGGGGTAGGCAGTACTGATCGATAATGCTGGGGACGGTAGTTCGATGATGTCTTCGTCCAACCAGGCTGTCCTGTGAATGCCGGAAGGTGTGGATAATGACACAAGGCTCTGGTTTGATCACAACAGCCGACCTGCGCGGACTTGTGGGTTCTGAAACGTTCTAAAGGAAGAGTGCAGGTGGATATTCAAGATATATATCTTCCCCCAGTATAATATAGGGGACTGTAGGCTACCTTTCGTTGGGGTTCGTATTCCTTCTAGAAGATCCTGTAGCCAATGTATAAATGTGATAAGACAAAACCATATATTGCGACCAGTTGAACGCACATTGGAAAAGGTGGAAAGCTCACAGAGGAATGTGGTTATACTTGGGAAGACTCACTGCCTTAAATATTGGCCAACGTACACATTTAGATATTTGAAAGTCTGCCATAAATTCTTTCCCACACTGTAGAAAGAATGTCCCGTATCCAGCCACTTTCTGGGGGCCTCACATATCCCCTTGATAAATCCTCATATCTCACGCATTTTTACGTCGCCGAAACATATCTAATCACCCCTGACTTACCATTGTTTAGATGCCTGCGTTGTTCTTTGCCAACCCTCTAGATAAGACAAAACTCGATTGATTTGAATAGATGGTTACAGGATTTCGGAACTACGTGATCCCGTACCGAGGCCGGGGAGAGGAGGGGTTATTGGGCATCAAACTGTATCCGCGACAATATTTCCTCCGTTACTTGTTACCCCGCCAAGTGAACATCCACTATGAATATATCGTGCCATAACAAAGTGGAATAGAATCTCTATGGTATGATCTACTTATCTGCTATGATATATATGTAGGCTGTGGTCTGACTATACACTTCTTAGAGTTCACAGTTATGATATAAGTAGCTGTACTTGAGTACCGCATAATGTCAGCAAGTCTCCCCACCCTTCCAGCTGTTTTGCCTATAGAGAGGTCAGCTGTATCCGAGAAGTTGCAAGCCTGTGATGAAGTCAAAAGGGATGTTGAGAGGATCTCAACTGATACACCGGCAATGAGTTATAATCCTCCTTTTATCAAAGGAAGTGCTTGCTCTAAACTTGTCCATGAGATTATTCTCGATTACAAAAAGGTCTGATTAAGCATACAATCACATTATAATCAAGCCATTGACGGTATCAAGCAGTATGCAACGAAGTTCCCTGACCGACCTCAGCAAATATCTCAAGCCAGGCGTGGTGGGCTCGTATTTTTCCCGGGGACAATACCCATTGGAACTGACTTCATGATAATTGACCCTCTTATTGCGGAAGGAAAGTCTACTATAGGTGATGCGGAGGTAGACATAAAGCACTACTACATTGTTTTGAAGGAATGTGATGTTGTTGTTCAACCTGGGGGTAAACTGGTAACACTCGCCATATCTGATATAAGGTGATGGATTGCTAGTAAAAATTATTGCCAAACTATTCGCATATCATTGGGTCTGAAAGGTACTTCCTTTTCTTTTTTGGGGGGTATTGTCAACACGTGCCGCTATATAATGATTGTACAATAGTCCTAGGTCTGGTTATCGCGGTATCTGATATCGGGCAGCGGAGGAAATAGATCAAAACTTGGCATTAGTTGGGCGGCAGTCAGGGGGTCAAATGATGTCACGTCAAAATTCTGCATTAACTCTGCTGCATTGGCAAATGATATCATGTCAAAGTTTTGCATTAGATGTGCTGCATTAATGGAATCAAGGTTGACAAGCATTGTTGTATGTTGTACTGGGCCAGACACTACTTGGGTCTCTGAGAGTGATTGCCTCGTGGCTTCTGGTGACGCGAAGAACGTCAGTTGTGTCTCTTGCTGTGTTGGACCCATAAGGGATGACACTGCCGTATTGTCGGGAACTTCATTGGCAATGCCAGGCATTTGCTCAGTTTCATATGCCTCTGATAAAGTAGTTTGACTGCCGGTGTTTAGTATTGCAGTATTTTTATCGGGGTGTTTTTCGTAGAGGTCTTGCAATATTTAGCAACGCTCAAGGCTTGAACTTTGTCCAATATACCGAGTATATTAGAGGTCTCAGAGGAACCTGGTGTTCTATAGGTATTCCTAGGTTATATTTGCTCAATTTGCGGTTCAGTCCTTCTCGGGCTACCTGGGATATTGCGAGCAGCACGTTTCCTTGGAGCCTTGGGCGTTCTGCGTTTCCGTTTCGAGGAGCCAGAGTCGACTGGAAGAGTCCTGTAAATATTCACAAGAGTTAAGACTTGTTCTTTAAAACGGCCGGTTACACTCTTCACAATACCTTCTCCAGCTAGCTTTGCGTTGTTATCGATACTCAAGCCTACCTTGAGAAAGTGGGAGATGACGATATCAACGTCACCCGTTTTTGTTAAGTATTTCTCATATCTACCCTGTCAGCATACTAATTGTCGATAATACGGTGAGACTTACAAGGAGGAGGGCACGACAAACAAATAAAATATGATGCCATATCCATGTATCGCTGGCCAACATTTTGCCTGTTTTTGTACAACCTGGCATTTTATTCAGGTCAGAGCCCTTATACTGTGCATCTAGGACACTAATAATATATACTTATTTAGCAGAGTTATTGGGGTATAATACATTACTGTTTCTCACAAACTGCTTTTAGTTCATACAGTTCCGGGAATAAATGCGACAATGATTTAGCTTGATCATAAGACTTATTAATCAGTTATAGTCTAGTATAATAGGCTCTATTTAGCATATCACTTCTTGAGGATTCATACGTACCCCACATTGGTTGATCCAGTTTTGGATGTCGCTAACGAACCGGCGCGCAACACCGATTACCACTCCCTGTTTGACGAAGAAGTCCGGATTTTCCCCAGAAATCTGCTTAAGGTCGAAGCCATTTTCTAATGCTACATCACGTGCTTTCTTAATATGGTCTCTGTAAAGCTCACGGCTCACGCGTGATAGGTGCCAATTGGCATATTCCTCCACTGCATCATCTAGGAACCCAGGAATATCCACAGTATCGATACAGTCAGGACTCGAACTTAACTGTTCAGCTGCAATAGGTTTGTCTGATAGAATTTGCGATGACTGTGCGGGGAGGACATTGATATTGATTAGTAGACATGTTGATCCACTTGCGGAATGCCTCAGACTCTTTTAGTGTTTTTCAAGGCGTTGTGCCTCCCCTGAATAGAGCTGTTCACGGACGTCGTCAGGAGATCATCATGCGTATCCAAGATGCCTCCACCCTCAATGTATTTGACAAGTCCCCTCAGATGGTGTGTTCTAAGTTTGTAATGCTTCTTTCCAACAGGGTCCAGCCAGCAATACTGCCCTTCATGGCGGCAGGGTGGCCCAGGACAACGCATCATTTGATACACTTCTCGCCAAAATAGACATTGTCCAGAAGCCTGTTCAGCATCGATCTGGGCATCTCGTTCTGTAAGCATTCTCCTAGTTACTGATGATTTTCCCCTCTTATCTGATTTCCGTGAAAGAGGAGAGCCACTGTCCTCTGTATAGTTTATGGATACTGCCAAGGGAGCTTCAATGAAACCGGTTCCCGCTGTCACGAATTGTACACTGCCAAGCTCGTCCTTCTGGTTCAACTTTACGGAGGTACTCGGGCTAGAGAGCTCATGGGCAGAAAAGATATTTCCTAGCCAAGTCGAAAAGGTGGTGGGTGTGTATAAGGCGGCATCGAAGGGAATAAGCGCCACCTATGTAACTGCACTTATCACAACTGTACTCGTTCAATAGGCACGCTTAGATTGGAACAGCTTATTCGTCCCGTAACAAAACCCAATGTAGTAGACCTAGGAAATTGGCGTATAGCCACATTAAAAAGCAATATGCAATGCTGGAAAACATCAAAATCATGCAAAACGCTCGCCACAGCGTTGTCACTATTATATATGCGCGTGGCCCCCCTCTGCAGGTGCATGGACAAATCGGCCACCAATAAGGAATATCAGGCCATAGAAGGTTGAGATTTTAATAGAGATCCTAAATTCATTAGGCATTAAACCATCAACTATAAATTAGTGAACCGTTAGGAGTAGTAAGAGGGCAAGGATCAGTCTCTTGTCTGAATAGTATCTACTGCCTGCCTTTGATCTTTCTTTCTCCTTTAGTCTACGTATCCTTACCTAGTTGACAGGTCTTCTACCCTGGATAGTAGATATCCTTGACAATTCTGATTCTTCTTTAACCAACTACCTAAGGATGCCCATGGCTCCCTCATCACGATCCTCTGACGGTGACGTATCGACTCCAAGAACCCATTAGGAAGAGATGCAATCTTCGTTTCAAACTCTCCCGGAAACGAGTTCTGGAATCCGTGATCAAACGAAAGCGAAACTATTCAGAATCTTCAGGAAACGATTCGACGGTTGGAAACTAGACTGAATTCGGGGAACCGTCAAAAAGTCGCCGGCGATCCAGTTCAGCCTCGTCAAAGGATAGCTGTACCGCTAAAGTATTCAAAAACATTCCTGAATTTACTCTTGACTTCAAACTACAGCAAAGGTAGGAATGGATTCTTGATTTAGAATATTCTTCCAAAGCGGCCAAAAAGCGCCTTAGAAAGGATGATCAAAAGATTCTTGCGGTCCTTCCTCACATGTCCCCGATCTGTAGGCAAACATAGTATGGTCATCTTGCTGAAAAAGCGCGAGAACAGCGACGAGACTCTGAGAAATCGTGGCCCTACTTCGCCGAATGGACCTCACCCTGATCAGGAAAGAAGCCACATAGCAACCCGATACGATAGGTCAACCCCAACGAGCTCGGCAACGAAACGACCAAGATCCGCGAGAGTTTCATGCCTATCTGGCTGCCTTAGAACAACATTTCCTAAGGCAACCAGAAAGAGAACGAGATCTTGCTTTCTTTGTAAAGTTTCTTCCTGATTTAACGAAATATATTCAGGAACATCATTTAAAGCTTCCTGAAACTCGTGATGAAACGGTAACATTAGTGACACATCATTGGAGCCGTCTGCGACTGCGAAACGCGATGAATCTGCAACGGAAACCACAAAGAAAAATGGGAAATCCGGTAAATATAAGTGATCCCGACCTCAAAGGATGACTCTGTGAGGGCCGATCGATATGATGATATTGGTGCTATCTTATCTAGAATTTCAAGCGTGAGCGGAAAGAGAAGGAATTGTTGTGGGGGAAATAGCAAGCTATGTACAAACAGCGCAAACAACAGTGAATTAGTCATAGAAAGAACAGATCCTACAGTGTAGGTAGAGACAAGAACTGTATTTTAACAAGCACCTAGCCTGGTCATAACGCTGGAGAGGCAGCGTTGCATCCAAACTTTCCAGAATCACCAAATATATTGCCAAGCATAGTGATACCATTTATAACTTCCCGTACGCGGGGCCGCATAGCACCAAAGGCTACTGATTTTAAATCAAGCCTTTTATATCTTACAGGAACTATAGGATATTGTGTTGTGAGATCGGATCAACAGTGAATAAAGCTGACTTGGTGTCTCAGGCAGGGTTCGGCCTGGGCCCTGACACTTATGCTCAAAAATATTGATCAACTAGGTGGCATTCTACGCGCGGTGGAGGAGGGGTAGAGAAGTTAATAGCCTCGGTAAACGCATAAATGGGATGTTCTCTACTTCCTGGCGCTTAAATCTCGACCCACACAGACTAATATTTACATAAAAACATAGCTGGGTGATGTGAACCTATGATTGATCATATAGGGTGTCCAAGAGAAGAGGTAAGCCAAAACCTACGTTAAGGCTCAGCGAGAATTGGTACTTGTAACTCCCTTGCATGGTACGCATATGGCATTGTACGGCACCGCGTTCAGCCGTACGCTGGTCTAGTTAGTATAGACATACGTATATAGCGGCTATTAATATCTCTATCATTAGTTGTATTTTGCTTTCCAAAACAAACCAGACCATAAGTGAGCGCACTACTCTCACACTACGATGTCTTGGAAGCAACAGGGTAAATACTGGAGCCGGCCACTAGACTGTCACGACAGATTTTTCCAGGCGGCTGCTGATATGGGAAAGCCACTCGGCCGCGAGCATTACCTGATTATGGGGAATGTGCGACTCGACTTTCCTTCTGACTTTGGCATGCCAGGCCGACTCCGTGAAGCATGGAAGGCATTGCGATTTCGGCACCCAGACATTGCACTGGAACTGCACAACGGAGAGAAGAGGTATTACCCTGTCTCTGATGAAAGGGCACTAGATGACTGGTGCAATTCAACCTGCCGGATTGAGGAGGACGCACGTTCTGCTGATGACCTCTTCACCCACAAACTCTGGCTCTCAGATTCCCATGCTACCTGTCACTGGATCCCAGCAAGTAGCCAGCTCGTTCTTGTTTCAGGACACCACCGCTGGGACGGTATTGGCCAAACCATGATGTTGCACGAACTGCTATCTGAGCTGGAGAGCCCGTCCTCTCTCCCCACCACTTTCGATGGCGAAGAAGCCAAGAACCTGACTCCTACGTTGAGCGAAGTGTTAGGAGTATCAACAACAGCTTGGGAATCGAGCTGGGAGAAACGTGCTGACGAACTTCTTGGGACGTTTCTCGAGGGCCAACCTTCTATTGGATTACCTCAAAGGGGCGACTCAATGGCTCTACCGGGCAACACTTTGCGAGTTGAGCAAGTCGTCTCCGCCGATATTACTGCGGCGTTGCGGAAGGCAGCCCGCGAACAAGGAATCACCATGACAACAGCTATGCACGCATCAGCAATTGTGGAGACAGCGTGTGCAAACCCTGGTTCGCCGGCTTCACGCTTTACTTCCTTAGCTGTCTTCAGTCTACGCAAGCACTGTCCCGAGCCCTTTGATGGGAATTTGCATGCGCCTTCACTGCGCGTAACAGCACTTCCTATCAACATCGACGCGCGGGCCCCTTGGCGTGACATCACCGGTGTTCTCCATCCCATCTATCACCAGTCATGGACGGTGGGCGAGAGCGAAATGCTGTTTGTGCGCATGCCCTGGATTGAGAAGCTTACGATGCTCTTAACGCCAAATTGTAACGCACCCCCGCCATCTGAGCCGAACCTTAATAGCTTGGGAGTAATCGAGCGATTTTTAAACCCATATTACGGCTCTATAGCAGTGGAGGATTTCTCAATTATGGGACAAATGCTTTCACCGCAGTTATATGTCCACTGTTGGAGTTGGAATGGGAAATTGCATATGAGCGCTAGCTTCAATGAGGCATACTACACGGCTGAGTACGTCGATGAATGGCTAGCAGCCGTGAGGAGAAATTTGACAAATAATCTCGGGGTTACGGAGAAATAGGTCTTTATCAACGTACCAATCAATCAAGATTCTAGTAACCTGATAGAGCCTACGGCTAGATATTTACTCATGAAGGCGCTTCGCCGTTGAAGCAGAATCTGAGCCGTACGCCATAAACCTTCAAACCCAATGCAGTAGACATAAGAAATCTGCTTATAAACACATCGAAACAACATGCAATGCTAGAAAACATCAAAATCAACCAAAAAGCTCGCCACAACGTTGTCTCACTGCTTCACCATACACCTTATAGTCGGGAGTGCAATGCGGCCAGCCTGGACCGAGGAACGCGCTTCGGCACGGACGCTGGCATAATGGTCGCAAACGACCCGTCTTGAAACACGGACCAAGGAGTCTAACATCTACGCGAGTGTTCGGTGTCAAACCCGTACGTGCAGTGAAAGCGAACGGAGGCGGGAGCCCCTTCGCGGGGCGCACCATCAACCGATCCTGATGTCTTCGGATGGATTCGAGTAAGAGCGTAAATGTGGGGAACCGGGTCAAACGGTCCCTAGTGCAGATCTTGGTGATAGTAGCAAATACTTAAATGAGAACTTTGAGGACTGAAGTGGAGAAAGTTTCTATATGAACAGCGGTTAGATATAGAGAAGTTCTGTTTAAAAGGCACCCTCATGCACCGTGTGCTGAAAGAGAAGCCGGTTAATATTCTGGCACTTGGATATAGATTCTCTATGGCAACATAACTGAACGCGGAGATGTCAGTGGGGGTCCTGGAAAGAGTTCTTTTTCCTTCTTGACAGCCTACCACCCTGAAATCGGTTTGTTCGGAGCTAGGGTCGTTGCTCTCCTCACGGCCAACATTCTCGCACTGGCACTCTGGATGCACGCGTGGGATGGGGTGCAGCGACGAGCGAGAGTGCTGGCGGTCGTTTATATGATGCTGCTGTGGGCCAGTCCCACCTTTGGCCTTCTCGCGGATGTGTTCGGCATCGAGCGCAGGACCGTATCTTGGTTCCATCATTGGATGGGCCGGACCGGTGCGCTGCATTCCGTCCTTCACGCTGCCACTGCCCTGGCGGCAGCTGGCCGCCCCGCGCGTTTGCTGGCACACATTTCCTACACCCCGCTGCTGGTACTGGAACTCCCTGCCCGCATGAAGCGCTCAACCGGACTAGGGCCAAACCTTGCCCCTCCACTCCTCCCCTTCCCAAATCGGTATGGGCTAACTACGACCAGGCTGTCATTGCTGTCTCGCTGATCTAACCACTTTCGCTGCACGCTGTGCTTAGACGGCACCCTCAGTTTGCCCTGAAAACCCATTATCTCCTGGCAATGACCGGTACCATCACGCTGGCTCTCCATTTCGGGGAGATCGCGATTGGTCTGTTTCTGGTACCTCGTCGGTGCTGTCGGCCTGTGGTGGGCGTTCTGTGTGGTCTCCTGCTTCCTGCTGCCACTTTGGAAGAAGCTATGGGGCCACCCCTGGCCCCGCCTTCGAGTCCGCCTGGTCGAGGACCTGCTTTGGCAAGCCATTACCGTGCCCCACCACTGGGATACCGCCCCGGGCCAGTATGTCCAGGTCTGGGTCCTGCTGATGGGACTGCGATATGCACTCCAACTGCCCTTCTTCTATGTGACCTTTTCGGAGGACGCTGCCGACCACCGGGAAGCTGCATGCCCTGACCCGGGCGCGGGAGTCCGGGCTGACGGCCAAACTATGCCGACGCATCGTCCTGTCTCCGCAACAGCCGCCGGTTCTAGTGCTAGGCCTGTATAGCTGACGGTGTAACCTGTCGTAGTTTTATCCTCTTTATCGTAGAGGATATCGGATCCTTGCGGGTGCTCCCCTACATTCGGATGTTGGTGCAGGCCAGCCAACAGCGTCGGGCAATGGTCTGAAAATTGATGGTCTTCTGACAGATGGAAGACTTTGGTACGTATCGCGCTCTTCTCCCGAAAGGTCCGGATGCTTGACTGACGTTGTTCACTGGGTGATAGTCCATCAACGGTGGGTAAGCAATTGGATGCAGCAGCTCCTGGATATTGATCGCGACGAGTTCAAAGTACTTACTTTCTTTTCTTTGTTTATTTCTCCTCCTCCATTCTATTTCGTGTCTTTCTAAATAGTAATGTTCTCCTTTATTTTTATCTTTACTTTTTCTATGGCCGGGGTTATGCGTTGCACCAAGCTCAGTTTCCTAACCTGGTTGATCCAGATCCTACAATTCGATTTCTACTACCACCGGTCAAGCGAAGACGTTCCGCAGCCCTCCAAGGCCGCCAGCCGCATCCGTCTTTGCCCCGGCCGACTGCAGCCGGACCAGACTGTTCAAGACCAGATTGACTGTCGTCGTGGGAATATGGCGGTGGGCGGTATGTCGGCTCCCACCATCATGCCCCGTGCGTGTTGGTGGGATGGAATCCGGGAGCATCTCTAGGTGGATCCGCTGGCCCGTGGTTAGTGGCCGCTTCACACACAAGTTGATCGCGAATTTGATAACAAGCGATTGCAGGATATCAATCCCATTATCTTGTTCTGATCTTCTCTTCTCTTGCACTATCTATTTTGTCGCTGTAGAGCTAGAACTTGGAACGAGTATCGTCCCCAACACTCCCTCGATGAGAACTCAGGCCCTAACTCTAAAACGCGTTAAGCCACGATAGACTGTTCCAGGAGTGGCCCGCCATTTAAATGCTCTCCTTTCACCGGGGTTATCACCAAGCTAACAATGCGTGTGCTAGCGTGTCTCCATGGTAGGTACCCGGAAACACGGAGATAGTTTCGAGTCCACCTTTAGAGAGATCTGCATCGACTCTGTGCTCGTACAAAGTTTCACCACCTCGAGGTACCCGCCAGACGATGCTGCATAGAGTGGTGTCAAGCCAATTGTATTTACTTATGGATATTGCAGCAACTCCATGCTCGTACAGGAGATTAACTATTTCAAAATCCTCGATATTTGATGGTATATGGCATATCACTGTGTAGGTATCTTTTATCGCTCAGCCTGGTGCCTATAAAAAGAGGCGTCTCTTAAGATCTAGACCATTAGAGATCATATGTATTTTCTTTACACTTATTTTAAGGTCGGAGTGGGGGCTCATAGTCGCATTGTAAAGCTCAGTTTATAACCTGTCCATTCACAGCTACCCTATTTTTGTTTTTCTTTCTTTCTTTTTTTTCTTTTTCTCTCTCTCTTCTCTTGTTGGTGGCCTCAAGGATTTCACTTCAGTCTAAGCCATTAGCCTTATCTCCTAAAGGGGCTCCATCTCAGATGTGGAGCGAGCATGTACAGGCTATACTCATGATTGGTTATAGCACTAGCTAAGCCCATCCACTCCATTGGTCTGCTCGGAACCTGACGTCAATAACCCAGATAGGTCAAGTATATGGCTCCGGCCTAGAGGCTAAGGCTGACATTGGCTAATAGCCAAAGGATCCGGGAGCATTGATACGACTGTATTTTTGAAACTAATCTTAAAATAAGCAAATTAAATCAGAGACATCCCTGTAAAAAATAGGACATATTGGGAAGCGAGGACATAAGAGGGAATGGATGGAAGCCCTTAGCCCTCGAGACCTGCTTATCACTCGGACATAACGCGAATACACAACGAAGAACAGCGCATCCATAGCGAAACAGCCTATCAACTTGTTGCACATTTAGTTCATTGATTCTGGGACGAATAAACAATCCCATAAGAGTCTCACTCGCTGATTTGTGTTGTTTTTTTCTGCCTCCCATCTTGGCACGTCACTCTTGAATAAGCGCATCAAGGAATCTCACCCATATTCAAGGTGCTACAAGGTCAAGGGTTGAGAAGAGTCCAAAGGTAACTTTCAGCTTCTGGTCTCTTGTCCATTGGTGCATTCATTCTTTCAGAAATATTTCAAATCTAATACAGATGCTAGAATACCGGTGTTGGCCTGGAATGACCGTTGAGACCTCAAATCGTGCAAACTCGTGCCGCACGAAGCCTTCACCACTATCAAGAGTGTTGCTCGATCTGTGGCCCCTCGATTACTGAACACGGTCTGCTAAATAAATTTCTCGCACGATGGCGAACGACAACAATGATGACGGCAATGGGAGCTTGATTGTCGGCCTCATTATACTCGGCATGTGTATAACGGTCATGATATATTGTGGAATCCGTCAAATGATGTACCCTGCGCCGCCTCCGCCTCGCGATATGTCTGTAGACCAGAGGAACTATTTACGGAAAGTGCGCCAACAAAGTCTCGATCGACTCTGGTATATTGCACGGTCGAAGGACCGGCCACCAGAGACAGAAGTTGGTTCCGTCAGTCACGCTTGATCTGATGGATGCGGCTATTCTTTTATATTTTTTCTTTCTTTTTTTCTTTTTTTCTTTGTTTCTTTTTTCCCTTTTCTTTCCTTTTCTTTTCTCTTCTCTTGTTTTTTCACGTTGTGATATGCTATTATGAATCATTTTTTATAAACTTTTATCATCACAGTCCATATGCCATCTCGTGGGTCAACAATGCGGGTTGGAGTATTTTGGCTTCAGCAGAGAGTTGGTAGCAGGCAGACTTGTAGCGATAAACTGTAATCTATGAAAATCAATTTTTCTATAGGGCCCGGCCATATTGGTAATATTATTGTGTCTAGGGGGCTGTTTCTATAGACAACCAGAGCAAGCTTGTCATCGATAATTTCATGGCTTTACGGTTAGGGACTTCGATGACAACAAAATCTAATTAAAGTGGTATCTCTTCTCTGCAATCTCACTCTTCTGGCAGTTTTTTTAACATTCTATCCTCTCAATGTTTTCAGCTGATAGTCGAGCCCTTTCCCATGAGATTGTACGACGGACTCCTGAGAAAACTCGTTCTGGTTCATCGCTCATTGCTGGAATTGATAAGATATCAATCGCCATATTTGACAGGCTTGGCCAACGTTTTTGCTGTTGATCCTGACACCACCATGTGAGAGCACCCGTGCGAACCTCATATGGCGACTCAAAATTGTAATCTTCGTATCCACCTTGGCTTGCTGGCCGAGCAAACTTGCCCAGACTTGAGCAATCCGATCGAAATCATCGAGCTCTTTAGTATTCCGTTCATATGATTGCATAACCATGTAATTAGGAGCCTTTTCCCAATACTCCTCCCAAAGCTTTTTAACCTTCTGTAGTTTTGCCATGATTGTTCAATCTTCTTGGGGACTGAGGCATGTGCTGTGATAATATTGTCCTCTGATTCTGGAATCAGCACTCGACAAAGAGCATGGAATTCAGGCCATTCAACAAGGGAAAATGGAATATTTCGGATAACAATTAATGAGTCTAACTCCTCATCAATAACATCCTGGTCTACAATTCTTTAGAAAACCTTCGTATCAATGTTTTGCGTTTGACCTAAGGACTCTACATTAATATAAAGCTGCTGAAGTTGGTGGACTACAGTTTGTTGAAGTGTGCTTGGAAGTTGGAACAGATAGGATAGAGATCTGATGTTTTGATTTAAGATGATTTCGCATATTTGTAGTGACTGAAGTACCGTACGGTGAATCTGTCCAATGGACACAGTACTTGATTGGGGCGCTTTTATGAAACTTCTTCATCACGTGCAGGTCGCGTATGGGCCCATGTCATCGAGCCCATTGGAGTTTTCCCCCTATTTGAGTCCGATCTAGACTCAGTTTCAACGGAATCGAGCGTGGATACATAGGCTAAGCAGGATGGATCTGCGTCAGAATCCATATTTTGAATAGGATGGATCACAATTCATTAGAATTGGAAAAGAGCAGTATGAACATGAAGCTTCTCAAGCTAGTCTAGAGGCGGTAAGTGGACGGTGAGGATTCTGCCGATCATCGATGATTATTGTTGATATGAATCTATAGGAGACACGTGATCGCCTAGCGGCTTGGCCGGATCACCCACTCCTTCAGCCCCTGAGGGCTTTACCCATTAGTAGTTGAGGAAGAAGAGAAGAAGCGCTCAAGATAGTTGATATAGTCGTCCATAGAATTGAGCACCTATCGGAATGGCATCCGGTCCTCAGTAGGCTACGTACGCGTAGCTGATACAGCCTCATCCTGCCCATCTTTCCCCTGAGAGCACCGCCCAGGGGACAAAAACCCCGCAGATGCGCCTAGTTGAAGACCTGACTATATACCCACTAAAGAAGAAATCAACCTGCGGTCAATGCTGCCAACTCTACAGGCAAAGCTACAGCAGGCAATGGGGGAGGCCATAAATTGGGAAGACGCACCCAATGGGAAAAGTCCCGCACCCCAAGCAGAACAGGCGAAAAGGCACCAAAGCAAAAGAGAAAATGCTCAAGAGCAACAAATTCCTGCAGGAGATCAAAACGCACCTGTAGATGAGAATCGCGCTGCCGGCGTTACCAGTATTCTAGACCACTGGGTGCCACGGATTGCGGTTGCCAAAGCAATCGGATCTGAATCAGCATACTCTGACCCTGCGGAATCAATGATAGAGCTTATCCGCTTCACCTAACAGAAGGATGCAAAAACAAAGAATCAATATCTGCGCACGCAGCAAGAGGGTCAGGGGAAGCAAGGCAATTTGCCCTGGGGAATAGATGAAGACAGGCTTCTCAGGTATAAGGGTGCGGTTTACATACCTAAAATTGAAGCAATAATTCAAGAAATCATAAGAACAAATCATGATCTACCGCAGGGGGGTCACACTGGTTTCAACCGCACCTATAACATTATCAGACACAAGTATTATTGGCATGATATGCGCGCCGATATAAAAGAATATGTGAAAACATGTGATACCTGTCAACGCATCAAAGTGCATAGACATGCACCTTATGGGAAATTAGCTCCGCTCCCAATCCCTGCAAGGCAGGGAGATATCATGACCATGGATTTTATTACGGGATTACCCTCTAGTAAGTGGCAGAGGAAGGTCTATAATGCATTGCTAGTCATGGTAGACGCGCTGACTAAATATGCTATCTATATCCCATGCAGTAAAGATATTGACGCACCACATCTTGCGGAGTTGATGTATACTACAATAGTCCCTATATTTGGGAACCCGCAACATCTGGTAACTGACAGAGATGCGGTATTTACCAGCCACTACTGGATAGCGCTATGTGACTATTTAGGAATAAAGCGGAAACTGTCTACCGCTTTCCACCTACAGACAGACGGGCAAACTGAGTGTCAGAACCAAACACTAGAGTATTACCTGCGCGCGTACTGCAATTTCCTTCAGGATAACTGGGCCCGCTGGCTACCAGCAGCGCAGTATATGTATAACACTGCGGTCCACAGTGCCACTAAGGTAACATCTTCCTATATGTTAATGGGCTTCACACCAAATCTGCGGATTGATATTGATAACGGATTACCGCATGTGAAAGCTCTGGAAGCAAAAGAAAGAGCCAAAGAGCTCCAGTGGATACATGACATAGCAAAAAATGCGCTTGAGAAGTCTAAAACCGTAATGGCAACACAGTACAATAAACATCGTATAGATATGCGGTTTAAGATAGGAGATGAAGTACTGGTGCGGGCAAAGAATATCTCCACTGTACGACCGAATGTTAAATTAGATCACCGCCAGTTAGGACCGTTCACAATCATTGACGCATGGGGAACGCAGACTTATAAACTGAGGCTACCGCCATGATACCGCCGCTTACATCCGGTTTTCCATGTCTCATTACTAGAGCCATACTACCAACGGAAAGGTCAGAAGGTGCGGCCACCACCTATCCCGATTGACAGAGATGAAGAATGGGAGGTGGAACGCATCTTAGCAGAAAAACGCACCCAGGATGGAGAAACGCTATATCTAGTCCGATGGGCGGGATATACACCCGCAGATGACACCTGGGAACCATTGGAGCATGTGCAAGAAACTCAAGCGTTGGACGAATATCAGCGCACGAAAGGGAAGACTGACCGCATCTAGAGTGCTGATGTCTATAGTGGGCCTATGAAACCATTACATTGCGGACGCAGTTCACCAAGCAGCGGGAATAAATTGCCAAAAAAAAAAAAAAAAACAAACTATGGAAATACCCAAAGGCCGCACCCCACCTATCCTAATCATAATCAAAAGACAAAAACACTCTATCCTCTACACCCGCAGGTCAGCTCCAGCGGAGTCCGCTCAGCGGAAGAGGACTCACTTGAAGGGAGAAATGAATACACCCAGCATACGCTGGTAGAGAGGGCGGGGGCTCGCAGGGGGTGGAGTGGAAGGAGCCGGTGATCCTGAACCTAGGCCACCACCGCCGCGGCGGGCTGCACCGGGTGCCACACGTACAGGACGAACAGCGGCGTTAAGGGCACGAACCGCAGCTTTGAGAGCCTCTTTCGTCGCAATGGCAGATGGAGACTGCTCAAAGCGGTAACGTGCCACCAATACCGTGTCCGCCTGCGTAATGGCCTCAGTGGGCACCTACCGCACATATCAGCACAACCCAGTATCGGGGATCAGGAGATATCACTTGCCGGTACGCAACGGTGGTAACCGCTTGCGCAATAGAAACAGACACGACGGCCCTCGCGGACCACGCAGGCAACACTTACCCCTGATAGGGCCGAACTGCAGCGCCGGAGACACCGCAGGCACCACTCCCCACCATTTTCAGGCAAGGGGATGCCCGCGTTGTCTTCCGAAGATGAGGGGGCCTCATCCTCTGAAGAGAGGGGGGGCGAGAGGTCTTCCCCGCTCAAGGAAGCTGAAAGCGCGATATCATCCCCGCTGAGGGAACCCGGTGGCGCAACCGCTTCCTCCGAAGAGGGGACCGGGGACGGACTCGGCGAAAAGCCCCCAAAAGGAGGGGACGCAGGAGGAGACGCAGGAGGAGATGCAGCAGGGGCTGAAGCCTGCTGGCAACGCAGGCAACGGGCACGGTTCTTCTTCTTGCGCCTATTGGCGCGGCGGAGCGTACGAGCGGCAGCAGATCGATGTTTGGCCATCTGTCGAATACACCAGTGGAATCAGCATACACGCAAGCCCACAAACGAAGCTAAGAAGGAAGCGGGAAAGAGCTTAACGCAGAACACAATCATCAGCAGGACAACGGATGCAACAGCGCCACACCTGATAGCTCAGGAGACCTCAAAACCACAAGATACGGGCAACGCAATGAGCAGAATAGGATACTGTGATCAGAATGACCTGAACGCGCGGCGTGATGCGGAAAACGAGGCGCTTACCATGGGTGTAGGAGAGGTTGGTGATTGAGAAAAGGAATGAGGAACAGCGTGTGAGAAATCGCTGTATGGCAGGTGACGTCCAACACAAGCGGCGCCTAGGCAACGGAATCAGTGAATGGCACAACGCAACCACAACACAACATCGCCGCCCGATATCAAGCAAGTGAATGGAACCGAGCGTTTCATACCATAGGGCGCGCGGCAGGAATCGGGATCGGACCCTGTACAACGCAACTAACACCCCTATACTTCCCGAAATGGAAAACGTGAGGCTATCCCCAAGCGTGAAATCACACACTGCTCAGAACCACCGAACGCCTACACCACGCGCCCGCAACCAACCCCGCATAAGCCAGGATTCTACGCTCGCATAAATGAGCACCTACGAAGCCCTGAGGCCAGGGCTTTCCGAGAGAGGGGGGTAATGTTAGGCGCACCTTACAGCGCCTGCGGGTGATATAGTAGCACGTGCGGGTCACGTGCTACCCGCTGCGGTAAAATCTTTACCGCACCCCAATGGCTTCAGAAACCAGTGATCAACCTCTGTGTATGGTAGTAGATCGTTGAATAGAAACCCAGTCCTCTGCTCCTGCCACCTGCGGCGCCGTAGCACGCTATTCCCCTACTACCTGCGGCTCTCCGAGCTGCAATTA